ACTTCATTGTGGAATGTATTTCAAGAACTATTAAAGACTTGCCCACTTACTGTGAATGCAGCATGTCGATATTGAATCAGCCAATGGCAGCAGGAACTTGTCAGGTTGTGAACACGTTGCCTTATTTAAAGGATCCTCATTGCTTCCATCTTAAAGCATGCATTAAAAAGTAGTCAAGGAAGCAGTTTAGGATGTTAGCCTTAGGAATGTTATTGACCCCCCTGAATTAAACAACTTATATTAGGTAAAAATCATTATTATTATTATTATTATTATTATTAGTCTTTTTGAACAGGGTCTTCCTGTAACCCCAGCTGGCCTGGAACTATGTAGACCAGGCTAGCCTTTGCCTTGAACACAGAGATCCACCTGCCTCTGCCTCGTGAGTGCTGGGATTAAAGGCGTGCACCACCACGCTTGGCTGGTAAAAATTACTTTTAAGCTTAAAAGTAAAATTTCTTAGAGCTATTGAATCACATTAAACTCCTTGGTTTACAATTGATAAAACTGAGATGCAGAGAAAGTTCATGTTTTATTTTAATTATCCCACTTTTCTTTCAAAATTCAGACACTGGGATGTGTCTCCATGGTGGTGCTCTTGGCTAGTGTGACCACGCTTGGCTGGTAAAAATTACTTTTAAGCTTAAAAGTAAAATTTCTTAGAGCTATTGAATCACATTAAACTCCTTGGTTTACAATTGATAAAACTGAGATGCAGAGAAAGTTCATGTTTTATTTTAATTATCCCACTTTTCTTTCAAAATTCAGACACTGGGATGTGTCTCCATGGTGGTGCTCTTGGCTAGTGTGCACAATGCCCTGGCTTTGCTCTCTAGCAATATGTCTAGTTCTCCCAACTTGCTGTAACCTAGACTCCCTTGGGAAGAGACTCTCAGTGAGGAACTATTTAGATCAGGTAGGCATGTCCATGGGGATTGTTTTTATTATGCTGTTCAGTGTGGGAAGACCCAGCCCACTGTGGGAGGCACCATTCCCTGGAGTTATGTCCTGGACTGTGTGAGAGTGGAGAAGGTAAGCTGAGGACTAGAAGGGCACCTGAATCCATTTCTTTCTGATCTTGACAGTGGGTTTGATGTGAGTGGCTGTCTCAAGCTCCTAGCCATGTGACTTCTTGGCAGAAATGAACTGTAACCTGGAATTGTGAGCTAATAGAAACCTTTCTCATCTAGTTTGCTTTTTGTCAGGGTACCTTATCACAGCATCAGAAATCAAACTGGAGGAATAAAGACAGTCTAACCAGCCACACAAACACTGTCCCTCATCATCAATACCAAGTGGCCACTGTATACCTAATACTAGGCCTGTTCTAGGAACTTGAGGTTCAGTAGAACACAATGGAGATGAAAATCCCTGCCCTCCAGTGCTTTGGTTATAGCAATAAACAGAAAATATAATAGACAGGGAGATCAGGCTGCTGTTTCCTCTTGATTGAAGCATTCTCTCTTAGAGGAAGGAGGAGGAGATTCATTAGACTCAGGAAGCTAATGAAACTTGTTATAAAACTCGGGAAGCCCATGAAAGCTACTAGATTCACAAGGCCAGGTCCCTTCCTGAGGTCATAAAATCAGTTAACACTTGCTAAAGAAGCAGAGACTCTGGTGGAGCTGCCTGAAGGTGGGCTTCATGGATGCAGTTTTTATAAGTGGTCACCTTTGCTGGGGTCAACTTTTCAGAGTTGCAGTTGCCTTTGAGTCATTCATGCACCCGTGTAATAACCCCAATAAACTCTGGCTCACCAGGCTAGATTTGAGTGGAATGCTTTCTTTGTGCCCTATCTAGGGAGCACAAACAGTTTTCACATCTCACCCAGAAGTCACACAACATAAGCCATATGTGGAAGGCAGAAAGTGCTAGAGGATTATTAAGAAGAGTCATGGTGCTCAGGAGTGGTGAGAGTAGGGGTGGTTGGATGTGTGATACTTAAATAATTGAGGATGACAGTGGTTTGTTGATCTTTGAAGTGAGGCTGGGTCAGGCCTTTGGTCTAAAAGAGTGCACAGCCACTTGTTGGCCTCCCTTCAAAGGTTGTTGTATTCCTTCTCTACTGTTGTATATGATACAGTAATGCATATTTTCTTTGTCCACTTTTCTGGCATATACCTCCTAAAATCTTTGGACTCCTTATAGTGACAGGAATGTTTTTATTATGCTAATTAGATGACTGGTGGCCACTAGATAACTTCAGGATGGGGACTGGTCACTGGAAAGACTAAGGCATGATTAGAAGATTGGGCTTTTAGCTCCATACCCAGTCTTTAGGGAGCGGAAGGATGGAAAGTTGAAGTGAAAGATGAAGTTGATTATTAATAATTAATGATTTAACTACATAAACAACCAAAAGGTTTGGGTTCAAATGAGTGTCTGGAAAGTTGAACACCTACAGATGCCTATGTTATTGTCTAGAATCTTAATGAGGTTAGTTTTCTTTGTTAATAAAAGAATTAAAAGGCAGGAAGAATCTCAGACATATCAGGAAACAAACTTTATCAAAAGTAAAGAAATATACACACACATACACACACACTCACACCAAGAGGAGGTCTTTCCACAAGTGGAGAGGGGATTTGGAAGCCAAAAGCCAAGGCCCCTAGGAGCACCTGGGTCTTTTGAGTGTTCTTGGTGGTATAGGGCAGGTCCCCTTCCCCTAATTTTGGATTGGTCAACTTAAACAAAGAAGAAATGGCTGATAGGCCCATAACTCCAAGCTGAGATGTCCAAGACCAGTCTTGGACTTACCTAGACTGGTCTGGACAAGTCAGACAGAAGGAGGCCTTATCAGCAGAAAAAATAGCCTGTCAGATCTTTGTCTCCAGTGAGGAAGAAGCCAGAAGTTTGCCATCTTACACCTTATCAGTGGCCCTTTCCCTGTCTGCCTGTCAGGGATCTGCCTAACTTCTGCTTCCCTTCCCTGGAAGGTACCATAAAGAGGGCATGGGCAGTCCCTAGCCTTCCCCATATACCCTACCCTCGCCATCTCTTCCATCTGGTTGTTCATCTGTATCTTTTGCAATATCTTTTATAATAAATCAGTAAATATAAGTGAAATGTTTCCCTGATCTCTGTGATCTGCTCTTGCAAATTAGTCAAATTTTCAGGAATGTGGGAATGACATAATATGGACACACTATGGGCATATGACATTTATCTAGCCTTGCAGCATAATGTAAACAAGCTCACTGAGCCATGTGATCCTCTTGTGACCTGTGCATATGACTTTAATCCCTCATGAACCTTCCTTGCTCTCTACCCAAAATAATATATGAATGTGTATGTACATACGAATGCTTTACACATCATAGTGCTGCAAACAGCACTTACCTCATTGCAAACAATGAGAGAAATTATTTGTAGTTTTGTGTGTGGTATTCTGGGTCTAGGGATCAAAGGGAAAAATTCTTCTCTGATAAGTAAGGGTCTGAATTTACCTCCCAATTTCATGCTGGAGATAGTTTTTCAATAAAGAATCAGTGAAGTCCTTGCTCAGGAGCACAGTTCTGAGAGACATCTGAAGGATTTCAGATCTGTACTTGGCCTTAAAATGGATACTAAAAGCCAGGCTGTTTTCTAAATTAAGGCATAAATCCAATGTAGCTTAAATGCTACGGAGAAGCAGCTTATGGGAACTCCTGATTTAGAAATGTAATGAGTTTGTTTTTTTGTTTTTGTCATATATTTTTTCCTATCCCAACAATGTTGATTCATTAGTCTGGCTTAACAATGCCCCCCCCCAAACATGTGCTGTCCAATATGGTGGCCACTAGCCCCATGGCTAGTATGACTGAATAGCTAGCTTTTTCATTTTTTAAGGTATTTAATGAATTTCCATTTAATCTAAAAACATATTCTCACTCTATTATTGGAAAAAGATGTATTTAGAACAGCCAGGTATATGAATCCACTTTTTCAATTATAAGCTTTGTGAAATGTAGGAACTTCTTATAATTTGAATATGTTCCCTACACACTGAGTGTTGCCTGCTTGATTGCCAGCTAGTAGCACTACTTTGGGAGCTTCTAGAAATTTTAGGAGGCAAGACCTAGTTGGAGGAAGAGATTGTTGGAGAGGTCCCTTTCTCACTCTCTCTGCTTCCTGTCTGTCAAGTGAGATAAAGAATCTCCCCATCACATTTTTCTGTTTTTATGATGTTCTGCCCAATGCATGGAGTCAAGCAACTATGGAGCAAAGTCTCTGAAATAGTGAGCCAAAATAAATCCTTTCCCAGTTCTCTCACGGATTTCGATTATAGCAATGCAAAAGTAAATAACAGTAAGAGGGTATCGATCAAATGTCTCCACTCAACATTCAGTGTTCAAATCGAGAAGTGCTGTTAGTTATGTAGACTAGATTTCAAAAGCTAAGTATTTTTTTAGGATCTCGTTTAGTAATTTGGAAGATGATTATATGTGAAATGAGAAACACTGTATATATTGGGATAAGCAAAATGTATTATTAAAATCAATTTAGTCTGTTTCTATTCATTTATTTTAAAATCAAGTTACCAGAAACTTTGTTGCTGAGAAATACAGAGGTGCTCAATTTACAGTTGAGTTGATGGCACCAACTCAGCTAACAATGCAAGGCAATATCTGACTGATGTCAAACAAGAAATGCTGCTAGACCCAAGTGGAGTAAACAAAGAGCTTTCCAGAAACTGAGAACGTCTGTTTCTGTCAGATTCTGCTGGACCCAAGAGCCACAAGGACCAGCTCCGCCTTCCTTGCGCTCCGCGCCCCGCCCCCGAGCGAGCGCGCTGTGCCGTGTGACCCCAGCGCCGCTCCGTAGTTCTCTCTATTCACTTGGTGTGGCAATGGCGGACGTGTCCGAGAGGACGCTGCAGGTGTCCGTGCTGGTGGCTTTCGCCTCTGGAGTGCTCCTGGGCTGGCAGGCGAACCGGCTGCGGAGGCGCTACTTGGACTGGAGGAAGCGGAGGTTGCAGGACAAGCTGGCTATGACGCAGAAGAAGCTGGACCTGGCCTGAGCGCGCGTGCTGACCTTGCCTGGACACCAGGCCTGGCCGCCCGGGGGCCCGAGAGCCCAGCGCTCACACCGGGGCACAGCCTCCGAGGCCCCAGTGCGGTGAGAGGCTCCCGCAGGGACGCCTTTGATCGCTCTCGGCAGGTGACTTGCTCCCAACTTCAGAAAGAGGAAATAGTTTTGTTTTGTCTAATAGCTCATTCTTGGGTGTTGATGCCTCAGTTCACTGCGGGTGTTTAATGGGAATGCCTTACCCCAGGCAGCGTAGTTGCAGCTTAACGTTTAACTCTAAAGTGGAAAATGCGGGAACAAAGTCAAAAAAAGAAATGAGTGATTGGGAAGTATTTCACACAACCCCCTCCAAAATTCGTTTTTATAAGATTCGGGGTAGCATGTGGGACTTAGTGCTCTTTGACGCTTTGTAAACTCCAGTTCGAAGTCTTAGGTTGTTGGTAGCGAATTAAAGTATAAAAAGCTTTAGCTTGGACCCCAGGAGCCTTGTATTTAGTCATAGCTCTTTCATCAGGCTGTGTAACATAAGTTTTCAGGTTCTTCTCTTGTCTGTAACACCAATCTGTAGTTAACTTTACAATAATTCGAAGTTAATATGTATTACTAATTTTTCCCATCTGTTCTGTTTCCAACAGCTTGTCGAAGATGGATTGTAGAGCACTGGGAAGAAACAATCTCTTGCACTTTATGAATCTATTTTTAAAATAAAAAAAAATTTAAATAGCTTTGAATTTTCTCTTTTTTCCACCATGGAAAGGAATGTTTTGCCTGCCATTCAGTTTACTGCAGTAAGAGATCAGAATTCTGAAAGCTCATAGTCTTTTTGAGCCAATACCTTCTTCAGAATCTTTAATATCCTTAGAACAACCAGGAGGCAGACTTTGTCAAGGGACCATTATGAGCCCTTTTTCTGGACCTACTCAAGAAAGCAAGGAGCTATGTAAAATGACTGAAGGATGATAGGTGTAAGGTCTTTGCACTTTGAAGAGTGACTGTTTATTCTAAATGCAGAGGGCAGAATCCTTATGTGTCATTATGGAGTGAGTGTACATGTGAGTGAGAAACCCTCTTGAATAGCCCTCAGAGATAAATCCCAGCCATGTCAAGAGTGACCAAGTCCTGATGGTTGTTTGTTTTTATTATTTTTGTTTTATGTGTATTTGTGTTTTGCCTGCATGTAAGTGTACCCATGTCATACAGTGCCCACAGAGGTCAGAAGAGGGCATCAGATCCCCTGTAACTGGAGTTACTGACTGTAGTTAGCTGCCATGTGGGTGCTGGGAACTGAATCCAGGTCCTCTGAAAGAGCAGCCAGTGCTGTTAACCCCTAAGCATCAATCCAGCCTGTGTTTTTGTTTTTGTTTTTTAATAAGAGGCATTTCCTAGCACATGATCCTGCTCATTCTTAAGAAAATTTTATGTCTCAGCTCCATTTAACATGAGAAAGGTCAGAAAAGGTTTGTGCAGAAAGCCTCCTGTGTGCCCATTTCTTGGGATGATAACTTACTTCCAACTTTGTTCTCATGTTTTTCTGTGAATATAGTATTCACAGTATTCAAGGGCTGAAATGTTGGTTCTTAGAGCTCCATCTCAGATAAGCCCAAGTTGGGTGAAGATGTTTAGTTACCATCTTTCATGGAGGCTTAGTTGAGGATCTTTGAGATAGAGTAGGTTTCTGTGTGTGTGTGTGTGTGTGTGTATGAGGGCCAGAGGTTGGCTTCAGGTATCTTCCAAGATTGCTCTCCACCTTTTCTTTTTCCTCGTGTGTGTATAGTGTATGTGCATGCAAGTATGTGTGCTTGCATGTATGTGGGGTGCACATGTGTCCGTAGACCTGATACTGACATAGGGACTGCTACATCCACTTGGCATTTATATGTGTTCTGGGGATCTGAACTTGTCATCACACTTTCTTGTTTTGTTTTGAGATGGGGTCTCCCTGTAGCCCCAGCTGGCCTGCAACTCTCTATATAGACCAGGCTGGCCTCAGTCTTACAGAGATCCGCCTGTCTGCCTGCCTCCTGAGTGCTGGGATTAAAGGTACCCACTACCACACTTGGTTCATTAACAACTGACCCATCTCCCCAGCTCTCCACCTTCCTTTTTTCAGGCAGGGTCTCACAACCTGGAACTCACAGTTGTCTAGGCTGGCTAGCCTGTGAGCTTCAGGGATCTGCCTGTCTCCAACTCCCCCCCACCCCCACTGGGCCCTCAGCACTAGAGTTATTGACTGCTCTTTTGTCCCCTGTCCCAGGCTTTTACATAGGTGCTGGGTATTTGAAGGCAGGTCTTCATGCTTGTGCAGTAGGCATTTTACTACTTGAGCCATCTCCCCAGACCAGGTTAGGTTTCTTGAAGCATATATTGCCCCAAACTGAAAATGTGCAAGGTTAAATATCTGAGTTGTGGCTGCAATAGTTCTGTTGCTTTGGGCCTGTTTTTCTGCTGTGTTTCTGTTAGATCTGGTCCTGGAGTATTAAGCCTTTCTCATTTCCTAAGTGTAGCATCTTATATGTTATCCCTGGACATTCCTTTCTAAGCATGTTCTTACTCCTGAGACTGTATTCCACTGCATACTAATCTTGTTTTCTGCCTACTACCTGTTTATGCTGAACTTGTGTACATCTGTCAAATTTTTTCCTTCAAGTTTACCCCACTTAGATGTGTGGAGTCTTCCACTGCCAAGAAATGCTGTGCATGGAGATAGTACTTTTTCTGCCTTAGCCAAAATTGGAATCAGAAAGTTGGGAGTCAGAAGCCCCAACCAGTCAGATACCTTGGGAATGACATACTGTTAACTTATTGAAATATGTGCTCCCTCCCTTTCCTGTCACCTCCATTTATCACAGCCTCTTGCCTTCTTGGTTGGCTTATTTCTACTGTCTACCCTCATCCTTTTCTGCCCCTTCTGGACTTCTCAGACCTGCTCCACTCTACATGTTTTCCATTACACCATGGACCTCAGCTTCAGCAGCCAAATCATACTCTACTTGGCCTCTTTAGTTTCAACAGAGAAAGACACTTCACCTTTCTGATATGGCTCACTTAAGTACCATGAGCTCTATTGTGACTACATCATACTTCTTGTTTTTCAGCAATGTTTCTTCATGTTCCATGACCTCTTGGTTAATATCTCTCCTTACTAGTACACCATTGTCAACTACATGAGAAGATAAAGGCTCTTGGGCTGAAATTCCCTCATCTCTCTTTTTTCCAGTAACTGTCCAGAGTAGTGTGTGTGTGTGTGTGTGTGTGTGTGTGTGTGTGTGTGTGTGTGTGTGTTGTTTAAATCAGGGCTGCTCATGTCAGCTAGGGAGTTTTAAAATTACCAATCCATGCATGCTACTCTACAGAGATTTTGGTTAATGTAGTTGGGGTATCACTTAGGCATTAGGTTTTTAAAACTCCCCAGGTGACTGTAGTCAACCCAGTGGTTTTGCGGTTCTACCTCAATCACTTCTAATCAAGAGTGACCCTGGTTATATACATCTTCCCCAAGGATGTTGTTCTCTCGTCAAAATCTCTTTCAGGCATATTCAATCTCTGCTTTTCCTTTAAACACATGACTCTTGACTTAAAATTCTCTTAGTTGAGGGGCTAGAGCAATGCTGAGCAGTTAAGAGCACTGGCTATGATTCCCAGCACCCACACGGTGGCTAACAACTTTCTGTAACTCCAGTTTCAGGGGAATTCAATGCCTTCTTCTGAATGCTGAGTGTTGTGCGTCACAGATGCGCTTATATGCAAGCAATTCACTCATAAAAATAATAAAATTCTAAAAAATTCTTAGTTGACCCTAATGAGAATGAACCAATTATAATCATAGACAATACAGCATTTTACAAACATGGAATGGACACACACACACATAAAAAAAAAAAAAACCCAGCACACACTTCATGATTCTATTATACAGTTCATAGGAGGCAAATAAATTTATGCTGTTCTAAATCAGGATACTGTTTACCTTTGACAGTGGGTAGGGACTAGGAGGGAAAGACTACTAAGGCACATGTAATAATACTGTTTTTAAAGTCTGGATGCCATTACCTTGGGTGTGTACCATGTGTGGCAATCCAGTGGGCTGTTTATGTTTGCACACTTTATACTTGAAGTTAAAAAGTATATAAGTAAAAGTTCAGCCTTACCTGTGCAATCAACATATGTTTGTCCTAAAGAACACTAATTTATGTTAGTATGACCCATCAACTGGGAGGTGAATTTGTATTATCTTTTTAAAAAATATTATTTAAAATTTTTTTAAAATATATTTTATTATTTTCATTTTATGTGTACGAGTGCATTGCCTGCATGTACGTGAGTGCACCCCTGTCGTGCAGTGCCGTGAAGGTCAGAAGAGGGCGTCGGATTCCCCTGGAACTGGAGTTAAGGACGGTTCGTAGCCGCCATGTGGGTGCTGGGACTCGAACCCGGGTCTTCTGCAAGTACAGTCAAGTGTTCTTAACTGCTGCGCCATCTCTCCAGCCCCGTATTAGCATCTTTCTTAAGTCCAGTGTTGCTGTCGTGGCGTCTGGGATTTGAATTTAGAAGATTCAGTACCACTCGGGGAAATTGTATCAGCTTCCAGAGAGTGGTCGTAAACGGGCTCGTGAGAAATCACTGTTCATAGACTTGCCACACAGCAGGGCCGCTAGCTTCAGAATTCAGGGAGGACAACATGCAAAATCCGAATGAAGAGAAACTTCAGCAATACCCCGATGGCGAAGAATTTTTAAATCGCCTTTTGGAGTAAGAATATGAAGAATCACGCGTCCCATGAAGGCCCTAGGAAAGTTCTTGTTCAAACTGGATATGAGGGTTAGTTTTGCAAAACTAGCATCGGAAAACAACAAGAAACAGAGCGCCAACCGGCGCGGCGCCTGGTGGTGCAGTCTGGGACTCCGGGGCACCCCAATCCCCACGAATCAGCGAGGAAAGGGAGAACCATAGGCAGAGCCAGGGTGGAGAACTTACGCGGAAGGGGCTGCGAGGCGCGCAGTGACGACGTCCTATTGCCGCGCCGCCACCTCCGTTTCCCTGGCAACCGCCGCGGACCCGCCTGGCGTCTGCCCCAGCCATGCTCTCCCGGCGGGCCCGGGACCCGATGCAGGTGCTGCGGCGCCGCGACCGGGAGTTGAAGCTGCAGGTAGGCCGCGGGCCCGGCCGGGAGGCGGGGCCCGGCCGGGAGGCGAGGCCCGGCCCGGGCAGAGGCGGGGAGCGGCCGCCGAGGACCCCCGTTTCCATCACTGGGCTGCGCGGGATGCCGCAACACCGCAGCACCGAGCTCCCGCTCTAACCCTGCCCCCCAGCCACAGGCGAACCCTGAACCCTGAGAGTCAGGATTATCCGCTAACACCCTACCCCATCCAACAACTCTGCTGTGACCCCAGGCAGCGCCGTGACCCACCTCATCCTCCCCAGCCTAAACGTCAGCCCTCACCAGGTTCATCCCAGCTCCGCGCCGGGATTCTCTTCATGTCCCCGGATGTCCCAGGTTCTCCAGCTCCTTGGAGCCTTCTTGTCTTGCAGCGGAGGTTATTGCTTCTTGAAACTCCTAGGAATAGGTATCAACCATTGTTCTCAGTATGTGAGAACGTGGAGATCCGATAAATTGAGTCAAGGACAGGAAATTGGTTACTTGTTAACATAAGATAAATTAATTTCAAATTTGCAAAGAAGTTATCTTCTTAAAATATCATTACTTTAGTGCTAGGGGAGAAGTGATAAAGCAGGCACTGTCCTGGTGTGTAAGCTACAGCATTTTTGGACAGCATATTGACAAGATGTAGCAAATATTGATGCTCCTCTGCAGGGTGACTACATTTCTAGGAATCCACCATCTGAAATCATTAAAAATAGGGGCAGAGGTTGATATACAAAAGTGTTTGTCACAGTATTGCTTATAATAGAAAAAACTGGATATGATTAAATGAACAGTATTAGGGGAATGGATAAAATAATCCATAAGTGGATTATTGTTACATAGGGTTTTCAGTTCTTGAAGGAAGAAAGATTCGAGTCTAGAGTGGGCTACCCCCGGAGCTGGAGAGCAGCCTGGTGGGTTCTGCCATTGGGGGTTTTAAACAAGTTTTAACAAATGCTTCTGAGGTAGGTGGCATATCCATGGCCCCTTTTCCCTCCCAAATCATGGTGGACTGTACCTCCCCTTTAGGGTATTTCTTCTGGTGAGTTTCTAGAAAAGCCCACAGGGTGAGGCATGTGTGTGATTATAATGTGATGATATAATGAAGTTGGAGTCTTTTGAAGATGCAGACCCTTTGCTAGGGCACATGTGTTGAGAAAGTGCTCTTGGCACATTAGCTTCTGATAAATGGAACAGTCTACCTGGAGTTTCAAGAATGTTTAACCACAAAGGGACATTCTGTCAGGAGACACAGCAACCAAGGCACAGCTTCAGTTCCCGGGCTGACATCATATCTGATACCTTACCTAACCAGTATCGTTATGATGGAATCTGATAATACTGTGACCAGACTTGTGCTGGAGCTTTTAATGTGATTGGGGAAACATTTGTGAGAAATTATCAAGTTAGAAAAAAGAATAGAACGTGGGATACACAGTATTTCAAACAGCATTAGCTCGTGCAACTACGTTTTTCTTTATTCACTCACTTTGCCTTTTCCACCTAATCTATAGAAAAGCCAAGGAAAAGCCAGGTGTGGTAGTGCACACACCTTTGATGCCAGCACTTGGGAGCCAGAGGCAGGTGGATCTCTGTGAGTTCAAGGCCAGCCTGGTCTACATAGTGAGTACCAGGCCAGCTGGGGCTACAGGGAGACCCTGGCTCAAAAAGACCAAAAAAAAAAAAAAAAAAAAAAAAAGGCCAAGGACATATACATCTATTTTGTGAGTACATTAACAAAGGAAATAGTGCTTATAAAATACCAAGTCAAGAGAAAGTCCTGGTAGAGTCCAGTGGATTTTACTCAGTAATAAGGAATAAATGGAAATACACAGCATGGAAATACCTCCAAAGCACAATGCACAGGAAGGGTTAGACAGAGTGTGTGCTGTTTGGGTACATTTATAGAAATGTTCAGGAGCAAGCAGAATTCATTTTGGGTGGAAAAAAGTCAGTAGGTTTATCTCAGAAGGGATAGGATGAGGATTAATTGGAAAGGAAATGAAGGAACTATCTAGGGCATTTTTCTCAATCTTCCTAAGGCTTTGGCTTATAAATATATATATATATATATTTGTTAAAATGCATTAAATATATACTTCAGATTTGTGTATCTCCACATGTATGAATTTTATATTAGTGACCTCTAGCTAGTGGCACCAGTGGTGCATTATTTGAGGACAGCGTATTGGTGACTTATATAAAAAGAGATGGGTACATAGACCAGATAAGTACAGTAAAATGTTGATGGCAGAATCCAGGTAGTGGGTATTTGCTATAAAATTCTACTTTTGTATGTCTATGCTCAAAACTGTTCATTATATGTTGGGGGAAAAGACTAGTAAAATTTTATTTCCTAAGGTAACATGATACTTAGTGTGATGTTTTAAACTGTCTGTATTTGTCATAGGTTGATAGTTTGGTTGCTGAGAGCCAACTTAAAGGAGCTCTAGAACCCAGTAAAAGGAAAGATATTTACCAAAGGTAAAGTGTGCTACTTACAGGTGCTTTCTCGGAACTATATGTCTATTTCAATGAGTGGTATTTAAATATTTAACCATAAGGCACTCTCTCCTCTCCTCCACACTTCTCCCCTCCTCTCTGTCTCTCTCTGTGTGCATGTGTGTAGGTCAGAGGTTAACACTGAAGTGTGGTCCTTGACATCTCTCTTATTTTTTGAGACAGGCTCTCTCCCTAAACTTGGAACTCATCAATTGGCCAGGCTAGGTGGCCAATGAGCTCCAGGGATCCTCCTACCTCTGTCCTGTCCTGAAGGGCTGGAGTGGCAGCACACTCTGGATCCAGCATTATATGTGGGTGCAGGTCCTCATGCTTGATCAGCAGATACTTTACTCACCGAACCTTCTCCCCAGCCTGAGGCCTCTGATATCCCCTTCCTTCCTTTTGTAGTTATACAATCTCCCAAAAGATAAAATAGTAATGGGAAATGATGTTAAGGTAACAGTGAGTGAACTTTTCAAAATGTATCTAAAAATATTGCTTCCTGTTACCTCTGCCTGTCCTCTGTTTTGGAACTTGCTATGTAGAGCAGGCTGGCCCCAAACTCACAGAGATCCACCTGCCTCTGCCTCCCTAGTGCTGGGATTAAAGGCATGTGCTACCACACCCAGCCTCATTATCTTTTAAGAGAAGAATCTTTTGGTCAGAGAAGAGCCAGATCAGAGAAAAGGGAGCTAACAACCTTCTAGTTTCTGTAAGGAAACATTTTCAAAAGTTACTGTACAAGGGTCTTAATTAAATCTAAACTCAATCAAAGGAGTTGGAGGATGTGATTTAATTTATTTTGTCATGCAATATAGCATCTAATCTACAGTTAATGTCTAAAGCAAAACCCAGCTCTGTGTCATTTGGCCTGCAGACCTACCTAAGGCTCTTGTTAGGCAGATGTTATTTAAGGCTCTTTCCTGTCTGGAGTGTCTGCCTGGTGGATCACGCTCTCTTCTGCCTGCTTGGCTTCTTCCTTGTCTTATTGAAGAACCTGGTTCTGTCTTTTTTCCCATGTTATATAAATCTGCTAACATTTCTCTGTAGCTTACCATCCCTCTTCCATTCTTTGCAGTCTTGGAACATGTCCTGTTCCTTTTTTGTGGCATTTCTGGCGGCAGTGAAGCTGCATGTGTGCTTAGTTTAGATCCTGAACCCAAAGTTTTAAATATCAGAACTATTTGAGGATTTAATAATTTTTTAGATGTAAAGGAGGTAATAATAATGATTTATGTATTGTATAAACGTGGTTTTTCCCCTCTGGCTCTTCAGTGAAATTTCTTAGTTTCAGTTCAAACTTCTTTTGGTCAGATAACAGGATGCATGTCAAAATAAAGTGTCATAACTTGAGTCTCATGTGACAGTCTGCAGGGAGGTCGTCCCAGGTGGATCAATGACTAGTGATATCCCAGCTGTTAGGAGCGTTCCACTCTACCATCCTCAGCTAGTTCGTGCTGCCTTTCTCTCCTGCCTTCCTCTTCTCCCAGTTGCAAAGTCCTTAGAGTTTCTGACAACAGAAAGGGGAGGGATTCTCCTCCTGCCTCACGTGGGAGGAGAAATGTGTAGCCTACTCCCATGCTTCCTTAATGTGTCATCGGCCATCCTTCCCACTCCTGACTCCCTGAATCTTCATCAGAGACAGAGCACAGGTGTGTATGGGAGGGGGGTCTCCAGCAAAGAGAAAGGTCGGTGTCAGCCTTTAGGTGGGAACCAGCAGGGTCACCTGCAGTTTGATGCTTCCACTTCTTTCTCTGCCCCTTTCACAAAGGATTTTTTGACCCTGCTTCTATTTGTCACAGCTTATTTTATTTCACTTTCATCTTCAAGAAGAATAAAGACAGCAATTCAAGTAACATAAGTGATTTTAAAAAAAACAGTTGAAAAGGTTTTTTTAATTTTTAAAGATTTTATGTATGTGTATGTGCTTATGTGAGTGTATGTGTACATGTTATGTGGGTGTTTGAGGAGGCCAAAAGAACCCTAGGACTGGAGCCACCTGTCATGGGTGTTGGGAACTGAATTTGCTGCTCTGGAAAAGCAGCAAGCACTCTTAACCACTGAGCCATCTCTCTAGCCCTAGGATTTGATTTTTAAAGGGAATTTCTTATCTTTAGGGACCCTGTCTTTGGGATACCCACCCATTTTTGTATAGCTCATTTGGCTGTCAGAAACTGAAAGTAAACTCTGTGAACTGTGTGTGGAATCACTAGTGTTCTGCCTGTGGTAGAAAGAGGCCTTCTATAGAATCCTTTGTTGTTCTCCACCACCGACTGACCATAGGACCCATTAGAACCTTTTTGGAGGTTTTGGAGGCATTATGCTGAGACACTGCTTACCATTACACTTAGCACAGCATTAGTTTGAGCTGTTTGTATTTTGTTAGTTGTAGCCCCATGACCAGGTCTTTGGTTGATGGAATTAGGGATCTAGAAATGGATTTTAAAGTACCTTGTTTTTTCCTTATTGATGCCTAGAATCTCTGGAGCTCTTTGAGCCTGGGTTGTCCTGTCTGTACAGCTTAGTGCAGGATCATCTTAGCTCATGGGTAGACAAGCAACTTGCACATGGTATTTTAACTATTCATGCAATAGCTAATTGCCTTGCCTGCTCAGAGACTGAATGATTTTATAAAAATAGTTTTCTAGTGGCTGGAGAGATTGCTCAGTGGTTAAGAACACTGGCTGTTCCTGCAGAAGGCCAGGGTTCGAATCCCAGCACCACATGGTTGCTAACAACCATCCATGACTCTAGTTCCAGGGGATCCAATGCCCTCTTCCCTCCACAGACGCTGCACTGCACAGGTGCAGGGATAACACTCATACACATAAAATTAAAATACATAGTTTTTTAGTTCTGACAATAGAAAACTAATTATGATTTCTTTTTAAAATTTTAGATGCATCCAGTTAAAACAGGCAGTAGATGAAAATAAAACTGTTCTTCAAAAATTAAACAAAGTAAGTATGATTAATTATATTATTTAAACATCTCCTTTTATACAAATACCTTAAGAGTGGATGAATTTTAGTTGGTAAGTTCCTGATTTTGCATTAGATATAAAGTCTAACCAGTCAGCTCTGAGTTGCTGTTCTAGTTTGCTTTCTGTTGCTGTAATAAAAACCATGACCGAAAGCAACTTGGGGGAGGAAAGGGTTTGTTGGGCTTATAGGTTACAGTCCGTTATCAAGGGAAGCCAGGGCAGGAGCTCAAGGCAGGAACCTGGAGGCAGGAACTGAAGCAGAGACCATGGAGGAATGCCATGCTGGCTTGCTCCCCATCTCACATCCAGCTGTCTTTTTTACATAGCCCGAGCCCACCTATCTGGGGATGGTGCTGACCACAGTGGGCTAGGCCCTCCTACATCAGTTAGAAACCAAGAAAATGTCCCACAGACATACCTACAGGCCAATCTGATGGAGAAAATTCTTCAACTGAGACTCCCTCTTCCCAGGTTATGTCAAGTATAGAGCAAAGACTAGTCATCACAGTTGTCCAATAAATTTATTACTAAGCTTTGTTTCAAAACAGAGTAGTCAAGACTTCAGATACTGAAAAATTCCAGCTGTGATTGGTTCACCGAGCATTGAGAACTCAGAAAATTTAGACACAACTATCTCAGGGCTTTCTACATTGGATTAGTCATGTGTGTTATACTTTAAAAGTGTTTCACTTTTAATTTCTCTGTGCAGAGAGAATACCTGCTTAAGAGCCTTCTTGTAGCTATAGCCCTCATATCAATGACTCTGTGTAAGAGAGAAGAATAAAAATGGACGCAGCGGTCACTTCAGAATTTTTAAATATGAGCCTGAGCTTCTGTGAGGTATTAAGGACTGAAGACTCACTGTTTCACTAAATTTTCCCCTTCCCACTGGGAGACCTGCCCAGGGTCTCGAGGTCCTGATGAGAATTGACAAATCGACATAAGACAAGGAGGTGGAACCATGGCTTGTCATCATAGGGTCAAAAGGACTTCCAGATCATACTCACAGAGCATTTAAAGTATCTGAAAGAGACTAGAGAGATGGCTCAGGGGCTCAGTGGTTAAGAGCACTGTCTGTATCTGCAGAGGACCCTGGTTCGCTTCCTAGCACCCACAAGGTGGATAACAACCATCTATAACTCCACTTCCAGGGAATCTGATGTCCTCTTATGGCCTCTGTGGGCACTATACACACATGGTACACTTAAATACATTCAGGAAAACACTCATACATATAAAATAAATAAACTTTTAAAAATTAAAAAAGTAGACACCTGAAAGCCATCTCCCTGCCCCACTCTGAACCTCTCCAGTGACAGACTGACCCAAAGTTTGAAAACCTAATTACTCCTGTTTTAAGGATGACAAAGTAATGCTGTCAAAGGGGAAACCATGTCTTCCTGCCAGTAAGTGGCAGAACTTAGGGTTGGCCCTTGTCTTTTGGGCTCCAGAGCCAGTATTCTCTCAAAACTTGTCCCATACTGACTTCGCAGGGTCTATAGTACATAGCAAGGAAACAACGCCCCCAAATGTTTGAATAGTATAATTTTACTTTTTCATTTGGTTTGAATTACAACTCAGTAAACTATATAAACTCTTAATTTACCTAAGGAAAGTATAATCTCACATTGATATTTATTTTGTCTTATGTTTATTGGAGTTTTGTTATTTTATATGAAATATATTAAAGAATTTGAAATGAAATTTTCAATTCTCTCATAGGCTGATGAAGCTGTACCCGTTGGGAACTATGAGAAAAGAAAGGAAGAGGAGCTCAGTCTTTTGGAGAAACTTACCTGTCAACTGCAGGAACTTGCTGTGGGCATAAGCCAAGAAAATGTGCCTGAGTATGACTGTTTGCTTCCTTCCTTGATTCCTTATTTCCTTCCCTCCTTGATTCTTTCCTTTCTTCCTTTCTTTCTTCCTCCCTCCCTCCCTTCCACTATGACATCACTGTTTTTTAATGTTTGATTCAGAACACACATATGGCAGTATAAACATGAATGACAAAAACACTATAGGCAACCAGCATGCATTTGCTGTGGATTAGAGGTTGTGTTAAATCCCATGAGAGATGCAAAGAGCTGTCATAGTCTCTGCCCTTAGACTGTTCACATTCTAGTTTTGGAAACAGAACGGAGGTCTGGGAAGCTAAATAATCCATTGCTAGAAAATAAGCATATGCCCTTAAAGTCAGCCTTGATGCCTAAGAAGGAGATAATTTGGTTGTCTACTTACATTGTTCCTTTTTTTTTTTAAGAATATACATGTTCTTTTAAAAATTGAAGCAGAAACATGCATTGTTTTCTGTTTTTGTTTTTTGGAGAGAGCATTAATAATAGTTGTTACAAATTATGAACAAAGACAAAACCCCTGTAGGTATAAATAAACCTAGTTTGTGGGGAGAAAAAAGTCAGTTATTCAGACCCTTCAAATGCTATTTCCCAATTTGTTTTTTGATACATGTCTCACTATGTATCCCAGGCTGGACTTGAATTTTGAATCTTCTGCTTCAGGCTTCTCAAGACTGTGATTTGCAGGCATATACTACCATGCCCAGCTTATTCCCAGCTTTTTATACTGAACCCCAGGAAGAATTGTGTAGAGGCAAGTATTCTATAATTTCCACTGATTTCCAGCATTGAGAATGGCAGAGTAAACAAAATGTGTCTCACTCCCACCAGAAACAACTATATAATCTGGAGAAAGTATAGAAAGCACCTGTTCAGAGGTATCACACATCAAACAGGCAGGGCAGATAACCTTCACACAGAGAGATGCTCAACGTGAACCCTACATCCAACAGACCTTCCTGGGGATGATTAAGGGGTGTGATGCAAGAAGTGGATCCTAAGCAGGGGACAAGCAGTCTCACTTGAAGAGTCAGAGATCACATTTGAGTTGAAAAGGCTACTGGGACTAAGAAAGCCCAGTACCATAGAGAGAAAGGAGTTGAAGAGAGATACCTACAAAAATCTAAATGGACTTAAGCCACCTAGGGGGGCGATTCCTGAAAGTGTTTGCCAGAAAGCTGAGAGCTTAACAGATTACAGAGATTGGAATAACATCAGAATTAATACCTAGCTGGAGAAAAGAGACCTTAGTGAATTCTTCAGACATTTATTAGAGATCATAGGAAGGCTTATGAGCTAGAAGTAAGGAAAACACCCTAGGAGCAGTAGCTACAAGCTAAGAATGAAGGCAAAATGGAAATAGATGTGTGACAAAGCCTAAAAGTAGACTTTAGGAGGAATCAGGTAAGTTAACTTTGGAACATTACAAATAGCAACTCTCTTTAGAAGATAATTCATCCAAAATATAAATATGTCCATCACAATTTCCAGTGTTAAAAAAATTTCTAGAAATGGGGACTGGAGAGATGGCTCAGTGGTTAAGAGCACTGGCTGCTCTTGCAGAAGACCCAGGTTGATTCCCAGCACCCACATGGTGGCTAACAACAGTAGCTCCAGTTCCAGGGGACTCTGACTCCCTCTTCTGACCTCCACAGGCATTGTATGACACAGGTACACTTCCATGCATGCAGGCAATGCACTTATACACACACACACACACACACACAAATAATAATTTAAAAAATTCCTTGAAATGCAAAAAAACAACCCCACCAAAACCTAAAACCAAAAAACAAACAAACAAACAAAAACATACCCTCAAAGTGATGGAAAAATAAATGACCAATAACCTTCCAGTAAAGGCAGACTTGGATCTGAACCAGACAGTAGGGTTAGCTGACAAGGACTTCTAAATAATGTGATTGATACATTAAAGAAAATAGAGTAAAGAGTGAAAGAATGGGAAAGGATAACAAATATGAAGTGCATTTGAGCATATGAGTAATCAAATGACTATTCTATGAAAAAAAAGTGCTATTTGAAATGAAATAGTGGATAAGAGCTTCCCAAATATGATTCAGTTTACAGACTTGAGAAAGTGGAAAAATATCATATAATCAAGAGGGAAACTAACCTCTAGAAACTCAGATGAACTGTGAGAATTTGAAACAAAAATCTATAAAACAATTTTTAATATACTAACAAATTTGTAGGGAAAATGTACATAGTAGATGAGAAGAATGGAATCTTACATAGGGAAATGAAAATTAGGAAGAAATAAAAATTCTGGAATTAAAAAATATATAGAAATTTGCAATTTTTGAGTGGTTTAATAGAAAGCAATAAAATAAGGAAAGAATCTGTAATCCCAAGGACAGGTTAAAAATTTGAAACTGATGAACAAGAAGAAGGAAGAAGAGTAAAAGGGAGAAGAAAAGGAAGAGAAGGAGGAGGGGAGAGGAGGAGGGGGGCAAGGAGGAGGAGGGGAGAGGAAAGATGAAGAAAAAGGAGGTAGATGAAGAGGATGAGGAATAAGGGGAGAAGAGGAAGGGGGAGGGAGGAGGAAGAGCAACAGCAACAGTCTATGGGCACGAAGGATTTCAGTGAACTCCTAAAAATAATATTTAAAAACTCACATATAGTCATAGCATTGACAACCAAAAATCCATAAAAGATCTTAAAAGCAGCCAAGGGAAAGGGAGCTATTAGGTACAGACAAATGACAGTTGTAAAATATAGTTGACATCTTATTAAAAGAAAATATAAATCAAAGATAACTTTGGTAACATCTTGAAAGGGTTGAAAGAAAAATATCAACCAGAATTCTGTATCCAGCAAAAGTAAAAAAATAATAATTAAAGAGAAAGGTACTATCAGACAAATAAAAGCTCAGGAAATTTGTCAACCTACCTGAAGTCTACCTTTAAAGGAAGTTCTTTGAGCTAGAGAAAATGATCCCATGCAGAAACTGGGACCTACAAGAAGCAAAGTGTAAAAGTAAATATAAAAGACTACTTTTTAAAATACTAAATGCCTTTAGAAGACATTTGATTATGTGAAGCAAAAGATACACTTGGGGAGTTATGATATGTTAGTTTTTATTATCTACAGTAGTTAGGTTCTACAATGTTGCCGTGGATACCAAATTAGAGATTACTAAATTCTTATGCATAGGGAAATACAGACTGAGATTCCTGTAAGTCTCTGGTCACAGTGTTTTTATCAGCTGGGTAGTACACAATTTTGTTTACCTGTATTTCTGTTTAAGGATACACACACACACACACACACACACACACACACACACACACACACACAGTTGATACATAGACATGAACTCAGTTGACATGAACTCAGAGCCAGCAGCACTGCTGGTTAGACATGAAAAATCTTCTATAACATACTTTCTCTCAAGGCAATCGCAGCAACCTCATACTTAGGGGCACCACAAAGTACCACTGTACCTTATTTTGGAGACATTTTAAACAGCAGAAACACCAAGAAGCACAAAAAATGCACAAGACATGAGTCTAGGTTGACTGCAAAAAAGACACTTGTTTACATGTAAGAGCTAGAGAAAAGGTGGTGGTGCTGTGGTTGGCATGAGGTGGAAATGTGAGCCAGTAACTCAGGTTCCCACTGCTCTGCACATGTCCACAAATGACCACAGAAGCAGCTACCAGTTAGATTTGAGCAAGCAAATAAATTCACAGACATGGAAATTACAAGTAATAAGAATGATGGCAAGTGGAGGCAAAGGAACTCACAGACCCTGGAGCTACAAGTAGTGAAGGGCCACACGTGTGTGGTAGCAAGCTGCATGGCAGGAGCACAGCAGGAGTATGGAAAAGTGGCAGGTAGATTCCATTATCTTGAGACTCTTCTATGTTTGCCAGAAAAGTGATATTTAGATTAGACTATGATAAGTTAGGGCTATAATACATATACTAAGAAGACAAACTGGAATACTAAAAATGATTCAGTAAACTAACAGAAGAGAGAAACAACAAAAATACCACATGAGATGAATTAAATCTAGAGAGTAATATGGTTTCAGTGTAGCCATTTAGACAGTTATAGTAAAGGTAAATGAAAGAACATTCCACTTAAAAGAGAGATTGTTAGGTTGACTCTTTTTTTTCTTGTTTTTTTTGCTAACTGATGTACTTAGAAGAGATATACTTTAGTCTTAATTTATAGATAACTTCTAAATAAAAGATTGGGAAGGATATATGCAAATAATAACCAAAGCAAAAGTAAAGTGATAAGAGTTCACCTTAATATCAGGCAAAGTAGATATTAAGGCCAGAAATGATTTTCTATATAAGGACATTTTATATTGATGAAGGGTGAATTCAGTAGGGAACAAATCTTCCTTAATATGTATTTATCTAATAACATAGGTTCAAATGCGTGCTGTCCTTCAACAAGGTAATCCACAATACTCAGCCACTGTGACCTGTTAGTGATCTATCTGTGTTGACACTGCACTCAGCAGCATACTATGCTTTCTTTTCACATGTATATATCATAAACTATTAGTTAAATGAACCAGAGGGTACCACAAAACATTTATCAATACATTTCAAAGGACAGAAATCATGTAGTGTATATTGTTTAATATCTTGGAATCACATTAAAATTCAATGGAAGAAAAATAATGAGAAATCACCAAATGTTTGCAAATTTAAGTCACACATTTCTATAGAACTGATAGGTCAAAAATATTCCAATGGCAATTAGAAAATACTATGAATAAAAAATGAATATAATGTGTTAGTTGCAGCCAAAATAGTATTTAAAGAATATAGCTTTAAATGCATAGTTCAAAAAGGAAATTGAAAATGAGTTTTTGATGTTTCCAACTTAAGAAGCCAGAGAAAGAACAGGGAAGGAGAAATGACGGAGCCAGAGAAAATCCAATGACAGGGAAAGGAGGAAATAATGAAAGTAAGAGACATGCGGTGATCAAGTCATCAAAGACAAAGGTTGTGGGTTTTTTCTTTTGAAAAATGAATTACATTGATAAACCCTCGATGGGCATGGAGGCACATGTCTATAATTCCAGCGCTTGGGAGGCCAAGGCCTGAGGGTTGCGATTTTGGCCAAGGACTTGGGTTGCAGCTCAGTAGTAGAACACTTTGTCTAGCATGTACAAGGCCTTAGGTTCGATCCATAGCACCACAAACCCACAAAACAAATGTAACTCCCGATCACCCAAGGAAGGCTGGATAGAGAATTTAAATCCTGTGCCCAGGCTGTCAGCACCATATATCAGTGCTCAAACAGTTTGCTGAATGGATAACTCCAGGATTTGAATAGTCTGCTGTCCTCTACCGTCTTGTCTCATCTATGTTAACAGATACCTCAGCCCCTTCACCCTGGTCCCTCCAGTCCTGAGAGCTCAGCTAGGCAGTGGAAACTTCAGTTGTGCTCTCCTGTTGTTTTTCTCTTCCGGCTCCAAATATGGAGCAGCTCTTGTATATAAAAGTGGTCTTATTCTTGCTCTGTTCCTGTGTATTATTTCAAGTGATCCTAGACATAGAAATGCTTTTTGTAGAACTGATGCATGTAGTGAAAAGGAGGAAGATGATGATTCTACTGAAGAAGATGAAGAAGAAAGTGAAGAAAGTGGCAGAGAGGAGGAAGAATCAGAAAAGGAGAAGCAGGAGCAAGAGTCTCCGAGACAGTCAACAGGCAGTGATTACATTGCTCTCGGGGATTTTGCTGCTCAGCAAGCTGGGGACCTTACGTTTAAGGTAGGTGGAGGGAGTCTGCAGTGTAACCTAAGTAACTGTGCATACCTAACAGAAAATTCTGTCTGCTTGTATTACATAGTCCTGTTAAGTTTTTTAAGACTTTATCTGTTAAAATAGGTAATTAGAACTTATATGAGATTCTTTTATTAATATTACCTCTTCTAAAGATCTTTCCAAAATCATATTAGTTTTGATAATTCCCAATTAGGGACAAATTTTTCTAATCATTGTATGCATGAAGTTGTGCCTGAGGCTTGAGACAGCAGGAATGCTGTTCAGCAGGACTTTTGTTGACTCAAGCTTGGTCTGTGTAAGGAAGTAGGAGGTGGGATGGAAAAATAAAGTTGGGTGATTTTTTTCTTTTTTTCAGTGCCCAGAATCAAACCGTGGGCCATGTGCATGCTAGGCAAGCACTTTAGCATTGAATGACAGTCCTGGCCTTAAAAGTTATGATTTTTAAAGGAGTTTAAGACTTTCTGCTGTCAATATGAGTTGGAAATTCTAGAGACTATATTAATCTTGGTCCTTATATATTTTTTAATATTTATTATGTGTATAAATGTATTGCCCACATGTATATAAGTATACTAGTGTCATGCAGTGCCCACAGAGGTCAGAAGAGGGCATTGGATTCCCCTGGAAATGGAGTTATGGACAGTTGTTAGTCACCATGTGGGTGCTGGGAATTGAACCTGTGTCCTCTGCAAGAGCAGCCAGTGCTCTTAACTGCTGAGCCATCTCTCCAGTCCCTTGTTACTATATTTTTCAAGTTCAAATTTGAATAACTGATTAGTAGTAAAATATACAAGTATATTGTACAACAATGTATATGATACATTTTAATGATAGAATTGTTTTCAATTCTGGAAAATGCCATCAATATACTTTTTGTGGGGGTTTATTTGTTTTGTGTTTGAGATAGGTTCTCCCTATAGCCCCAGCTTATCTGGAACTTGCTATGTAGACCAAGCTAGTCTGGATCTCACAGAGATTACCTCCCTCTGCCTCCTGAATGCTAGGATTAAAGGTGTGCATCAGCATGCCTGGCTAATAGTATATATCCTTAGACTTTCCTTCTAAATACCTAAGTAGTGGAAATTCTGTGCTTATCAAAGATGGATTATATTTCTATGCATGAATAAATGTTATTCAAAATGTGAATTAGGATATATTGAAACACTGTGTTTCAACTCAGGGTTTAATTTCAGAGAATTGACTTTCTTCAGGGATTCACATGTTGCTTCTGAGATGCACAAATTAAAAATCTTTTATACAGTAATGAAAGTGCTTGAACAAGCACAGGCCCTTAAAGATGATTGTGGAAAGGCGATTCTCATTTGTGTATACACCTAGTGTTTGTGTTAGATAGCCAAAAGGATTCATAGTCATCACATAGGGTCAGCAGTGGGGTGGTCTGGAAGCTTTTTATAAAGTTGGAATAAGCAATTGATTAAGAAAGTATTTTACCTTTGTTAAACATATATTTTGAAGCATAAGCAGTGAAATATTATTCTTGGTTATTGAATTTTTATGCAACTTTTCCTTTGTTTTCATTGAAGAAAGGAGACATTCTCCATGTAATTGAGAAAAAGCCTGATGGTTGGTGGATGGCTAAGGATGCTGATGGGAACAAGGGTCTCATCCCCAGAACCTACCTGGAGGTCAGTGCTCATTGCTTCTCCTGTCTTTCTGCTTCAGAACATTTCCGGTTGTATTATAAGACGTGAAGCTGTAGTTCTGATCAATACAGAGGTGAATAATTTGAGATAAAGACTGGGTTTTAATTTTAAAAGGCTAGTGGGAAGAGGAAACATTGTATATTAGTTGTCTGGGGCTTATCATGTGTTCAAGCAATAAGGGGACATTTGTGGTTTATTGCAAATATAACAATAGTTGCCATCATGTTAACGTCCACAAGTAAATGATCTCCTTGCTAAAATCTGTACATGCATGTTTATAGCCTATGATTATCATGTCATGATATAGCAAGGTCATCGTGTATACTGAGGAGTGTGACCATCTGAATTAGTTGATGTCCAGTGGAAACAGAATGCTCAGTCATACATGTAATTCAAAACTTTCCATAACCTCATTGAAATGTCTTTTTTATGTCACCACTTCTTACACCAAGTGTACGATTTATCTGTGCCACCAAATGTGTATCATTTTGCACATCAGTTCTTCAACTGTGTATCCAAGCATTCAGTCTTAATTGTGACCCTAACTTAATGAGCTAGCACAGACTCCAAAGGAAACAACACAGTCCCATGAAACTTAGAGGCCAGGCACAAATCCCAAGGGCCATTTGTACTTGTGACTAGCTGGCTTATAAACCCAGGAGTTGCTCCACTCCTTTTGAGAGACTGTAGCTCACTGAATTTAGGAAAGCACTTTACAAGTTGTCCTCTGTTCCCAAGGACTCTGCATTTATGGATTCAACCAACTACAGATAGAAAATACTTGGAAAAATTGCATCTGAATTGAAAATATACAGATTTTTGCCATTATTTTGTTGGTTTGTTTCTTTGAGATGGTTTCATTATGTAGCACTGGCTGGCCTCAGTCTCACAGAGATCCACCTGCCTCTACCTCGCAAGTGCTGGGATTAAAGACATGTACCACCACACCTCCACACCTAGCTTTTTTTTTTCCACTCTTTTAAGTGTATCTGGAACAACATTTTTACATGGTACTAATACTGATACATGGCATAATAAGTAATCTAGGTGACTCAAGTACACAGGGTGATGTATACAGGTTATAGCCAAATACTAAATACCATAAGTTACTTAACCAGTGGCAGTTGGGTGGAGGAGCCAGAGACACAGCTTCATGCTGCCACCTGTTGGAGTCTGAGTCTTTTTCAGAGACTTCTACTCAGGTGAAGTCAGAATTCTTGACTGAGCTGCAGAAAAGAATTTCCAGTGAGTCAGTGTGAAGTAGAGTTATTAAGAGATTTTTTAGTATAGATGTAAAGCAGGGAATTAATGAAAGGAGGTTCTCAGAAAAAGGACAGTATATACCCAAGTGTGGGGGGGCGCTTCTCAAGAGAGAGTCATATTCATGTATGTTTATAACATCCATAAATATGATGTCCATGGCTCCTGAAGTTATACCTCAAAGGTTGCCAAGGGACTCCTGCTTCTTCCCCGTCCCCCCTCAACTTTTTGATAAATGAGATTATAGGGTGGTTCCTGAGGTCCCTTAGATATTATTGCAGTCCGATAAAGTAAAACTATGGCTCACAACAACTGTATAAGGGGATTAGGACATGCTTGTTACTGTAAATGGAGTTTATGGTTTGCTTGTGTGATTCCTCGAAAATCACTGGTGAGAGACTTCAACTAGACTCCAAGGCGGGAGGTTCCCTTCCCTTCCTGTGTCCCCTTAATTTTTCTTTCTATCCTTCCTCGATTTGTATATTCATGGGTTTTGGTATCCATTGGGATACTCTGGAATCCCAGTTCCTGAGGATACTGTGGGACATCTGTACTTACATTTACCAGTTTATTATGAAAGATGCAACTCAGGAATAGCCAAAAGAAAAGATGCATAGGGTAAGGAGTTGGGGGAGGGCTATGGTTTACATGCTTCCCTGTGCATGCCACCCCACCCCCACCCCCGCCTCAGTGTGTTTACTAACCTGAAAATCTCCAAGTCCCTTTGCTTGGGGGTTTTATAAAAGTTTCATTAATTGCATTAGCTAAATTAGTTTAGGGTTTTTTTTGTTTTTTCGGGGTGTGTGTGTGTGTATATATATACACATGTTGGGGAGTCCATGTGCATGTGGATGAGTGTACAGGTGTGTATGTGGGTTTTTTTGTTTGTTTGTTTGTTTTTTGAGACAGTCTCTTATTGGCCCAGGCTACACCAAGTAGGCTAGGCTAGGCTGGCTGGCCAATGGGTCCCAGGGATCTGCCTGTCTCTGCCTCTCCAGTGCTAGGACAAGTAAAGCTCCAGCAAAGCTTTTTACATAGGTTCTCAGGGATCAAACTCAGGTCTTGATGTTTTCAAGGTAAGTGCCTTACTGGTGAATTAACTAAATTATTGACCATTGGTGATTAACTTAATCTCTGGCTCCCCTCTGTTCTCCAAAGGTTGGAGGATAGGGACTAAAAGTTCCAACTTGTATGTTTTAGAATGGTTGAAAGGGACTTCTTATAAATGAAAAACACATTCCTATTAGTCAGGAAATTCTAAGGATTTCAGTTCTGTGCCAGGAGACACACACACACACACACACACACACACACACACGCACACACACACACACACACGCAATTTTATTACACAACTAAGTAAAAAACAAATCTAAGTGTGGTGGTGCACACTTATGGTCCTGGTACTCAGAAGGTTAAGGAGGATTGGCATTCCATTTTAGCCAAGACTGCATACTGAGGTACTGTGGAAAAGGAAAGAAGAGGGAAGGAGAAAAAATAGGTAGGGGGGGCTGGAGAAATGGCTCAGGAGTTAAGAGCACTAGCTGCTCTTGCAGAGGACCTGGAGTCAATTCCCAGCACCTACATGGCAGCCTCAACCATACGTAATTCCAGTTCCAGGGAATCTGACAACCCTCTTCTGACCTCCATAGGCATTGCACAACATGGGTGCACTTACATACATGTAGGCAATTCACTCATATACATGAAATAAAAATTAATATTTAAAATATTTTTAAATGGGGGAATTACTTTTAATGATGTAAATATGTTCAGAGGCAGGCAAATCTCTGCGAGTTCAAGACCAGCCTAGTCTACATAGTGAGTTCCAAGCCAGCTAGGGCTACAGGGAGACCCTATCTCAAAAAGACCAAAAATTAAATGAACGGAGGGAGGGAGGGAGAATTATTTTGTTTACTTTTTATAACAACTTCAAAATTCAATGTGTCTTACAGAACATCCCAGTTGGGATGAATCTGAAAAGCCCAGCATCTCCACTTGGCTTATAGCAAGGGGCTGCTGGGTTGCATAGATGGTCTTTTGAAAAACAGCAAGTTCTCTAGCCTCATTAGATAACAGATTGTTCTCAATCTTTAATCACTATCTTGTATTGCAAAAAAACGAGAATTATGTTTCCTTTGAGTTACAAAAAAATTCCCCCAAAGTGGCTTATCTAGTAAAAGCTCCTTTCTCCAAACATTTTCCTGCTTGTGGAGCTAGGCAAGCAATAACTGCTTACAGCTTTGTCTCATGTTTTACTCTCTAATCTCATGGGAGGCAGCTTTTCCTGGAGGCAAGTCAGCTGCTGAATCTTTGAATGGTTCTAAGCAGCCTCAGAAAAAGGGGAAGAAAGAATCAGACTGCATGAGGTGCTGCCGTCCTAAGATTTCCTGGAGGTTACACAAAACCTTCCAGTCATGCCTTGTTCATCAGCATTTAGCTCCAATACTTAACTGCAAGTTGGGCTTGGGAATCACAGGCTTTCAGCCCGATTTTGCTGCCATCAGTTCTGTTAAAGAAGTGGAGAATGGGTGTCCCTCCTCCCCTACCACCTCTGCTGTGACTTGTTTCCTTTAACATCTGTGTGGACTTGGATTATTCTCTTAGGTAAATTCCTAGGTGTTTGTCACTGCCTCGAAGGATTCCCCTTTTATAACTGGATTAGATCATTTTACCAACTTGTCGCATCGCTTGCCAACTTTCCTTTGTGTTTGATAGTGCTGGCTCTGATCATCAAAACCAATCTCATTAGTTTAATTTGCATTGATTGTACTCTTGGTGAGGTCAGGCATCATTTCATATTGATATCATTTCTTATTGATTTATAGTTGGTTATAATATTTTAATAATAAACATACTAGCCCTCAGAGATTGGTGTTCAATATTTCTTGTTGACTCTCAGCTGTGTATATTTTTGTCAGCTAAATCTTTCAGTGTTTCCATTTATGAGTTTTGGTTGTGTTATTGTATCTGCAAAGGGCTTCCTCATCCCAAGATTATTTTCTTCCAATGCTTTTATTTATTTATTTGTTTGTTTGTTTGTTTGTTTGTTTGTTTTTGAGACAGGGTCTCCCTTGTAGCCCCAACTGGTGTGGAACTCACTATGTAAACCAGACTGGCCTTGATCTCACAGAGATCTGCCTGCCTCTGCCTCCCAGTGCTGGGATTAAAGGCATGCACCACCATGTCTGGCATTTGTTGGCTGATTTTCGCATTAAGTGAAAATCACTTGTATGTCTGTGATTTTCCAGTCCTATAATAAAGAAGGCATCAGAGAATCAAGTGAAGAGGGCAGCAAGGAGGGCAGTGAGGAGGATGTGGAGGTGGTGGATGAAACTGCAGATGGAGCTGAAGTGAAACAAAGGTACAGAGTGTGGGAGGGAGGGTATCAGAGCAGCTTTAAGATTGTGTGTGTGTGTGTGTGTGTGTGTGTGTGTGTGCATGTTTGTGCATGTTCAGGTGCACATGTGTGCATGTGTGGAGGCCAGAGGTCAACCTTAGGTGTCTTTCCTTTTGAGACAGGGTCTCTCACAGGGACCTGGGGCTTGCTGATAGGCTAGGCTGTGTGGCTAATGAGCCCAGGAAACTCCCTATCTCCACCTCCCCAGATGTGGGATTACAAGTCCCTATACCTGGCTCTTTATGTAGGTTCTAGAGGATCAGACTTGGGTCCTCATGTTTGCATTGCCAACGAAGCATCTCCCAGGCCCAGACAATTTTTATTTTTACTGTTATAAATAATTCAGTACTTTCTTGAAATGGAGACCAGCTTTGCCACTCTTAGAGTATTTAGTTCTAGCTTGGTTGCATCTAGAGTGTTTAGTTTTCAGACCTGGTTGATGATCATTACATACTCTGTTCTTTAATTCACTCCCAGTTAGTTGATAGGCACAACCTGTCCCTGCTCTCACCTTACTGCTTTGTCTCCCTAGAACTGATTCCCACTGGAGTGCTGTTCGAAAAGCTATCTCAGAGGTTGGTATTATTAACGATGTTCCTATTTGATGCCTAATAATGCTAATATATTTAACAAGTAAGACACAATTGGTTTGTTACCTAAGCCAGTAGTTCTGAGTTCCAATTCAAAGCAGGATGAAGACTGTGGAAGACAGCAGGGATGTTGAACAGGCGCAGGGCATGGAATAAACCCAGCATAAGGCACCTACGTCTGGTTTAATAGGCCTGGGCTCCAAGTAACATTTCTCATTTGGTTCTTTTATACAAGGAATAGAGAATCTCATTCATGATGTGATATGAGGGCTTGGGGTTATTCTCAGTGTTCCTACATGGAGTTTCCATCATTTGGGTGAAGACATGTTAAATTCAGCTGCTGTTTGAAAGATATGAAAAGAATGCTGCAAGTAAGAAAGTAGCCATAATCCTACAATTTAAAAAATTGGCCAGGCATGGTGGCACACACCTTTAATCCCAGCACTTGGGAGGCAGAGGCAGGCGATCTCTGTGAGTTCAAGGCCACCCTGGTCTACATAGTAAGTTCTAGGACAGCTGGGGCTACAGGGAGACCCTGTCTCAAAAACACCAAAAAAAAAAAAAAAAAAAAAAAAGCTAAAAAATTACATGACAAAATAAAAGTCCTTCCCCCTACACCCCCAACAGTTATCACCATTAACAGTGCAATGAATATCCTTCCTGACTCTATTCCATTTATGGCTTAAGGACGTGCTTGAGTGTGAGTGGTGCGTGTTCACATACCCACAACACCCATTAATTCTAAGCACATATCAGATGCAATGTTAACTCATCTGTTAGATGGCAGTATGGAAGCAGGACAGGAGTGGGCACATTTCACATTTGGTAAGGGTATAATTGAAGTAATGGGTCTAAAACCCAGAACTCTGCACCTGTCTCTGTAAGAGGCTACAGTCATTTGGAGAGACCCACTCATGATTGAATGTCACACTGCAGATCCCTCCACTCTCATTCTGTATGTTTTGAGTTGAAGTATTATAGAGGCAAGGAAACGTGAATGAAAACAGGCAAATCTACTTCATTTTTCCTCTCTTCAGCAGATAAACACCATTGATGTGTTAACCACGATGGGGACTATTCCTGCAGGGTTCCGGCCTTCCACACTTGCCCAGCTGCTAGAGGAAGGTAACCCAGGGCTGTCAGCCTCTGCACTCTGGTAGTTAAGCAGTCAAAGTTGAAGTCTGATTTTTCTTTCATAGTCAAAAAAAAGTTGAAGAACATGCTAAATCTCACTTTCTATGTGTGCAGGTGTGTGTGTATGCATGTGTCTGTATGTGTTCACACATGTGTCTGTGTATGTGTGTGCTGAAGCTAGAGATTGACATCACCTGTGTTTCTCAGTTACTCTTCACCATATTTTTCGAGATGAGGCCTTTCACTGAACCTAGAGTTTTCCAGTTCAGCCATACTTGCTGGCCAGCAAGCCCCAGGGATCCTGTTGTTTCTGCCTCTCAGTGCTGGAATCAGAGATGTGTGCCGCTGAGCCTGGCTTTTCTTGCCTGGGTTCTGGGAGATATAGCTGAGCTCCTCATGCTTATGTGGGCTGCTCTTTACTTCCTGAGCCATCTCCCAGCCCTGATCTCCTTTCTTTAATGCTCATTTCTCCCTGTTCTCCCCAGTGAGTAAGTGGCCCCAATCCTGTCAGAAGCCAAGCTGTATAAGGTGTTCTGGGTTCCGGCTCCTTTTCTTGTTTACAAACATGACTTCTTAATTACCAGCCCCTTCCTGCATCTGTACCCTGACTCCAGCCTTCCCTCTACTGCTGGATTCCCCATCAATATTAGTAGGATACCTAATACTGCAGCCTTTAAGGGCTAGCTCCCAAGCCTATCCCATTTGAGCCAAAGCCTCCCTTTATCTGCTCGTCTTATAACAAGACCTTTCCAGAAAGTTATCTCCACTTGGTACTTCTGTTTCCTTATTCATTCTGGAATTTCCCAGTACTTGACAACTTCTATCTGTAAGTTCATTGTAAAGAAGAATCACAGTGGCATGGTCTCCTTTGTATCTGAGCTGTTCAGTTATCCGTGGAAGGACTACTTTGCCATGACCTCTGCTGGGAAAGTCTTTCCCTGACCTCCCTAAAATTTCCACCCCCTTCTATCCTTCCTACTCAGGTTAAGTCCTGCCTGTCCCAAGATGGCTGCCTTGGGTCTCGGTGTTTTCCTCTACCCCTGTCCACCTGAGTACCTTTCAAAACTGTCATGTCTGCTTTGGTGTTGTTCTTTCACTCAACTATAAATTAATGAGGACAAAGGACCTAGCTCTCTGATTCATTGTTGTATTTCTGGCTTCTAGCATAATACTCAGAACAGAGCAGGGACTTCAAAATTATTTCTTGGATGAATAAGTGAGCTTATAATAAGTATTCTTCATGGTTGAGGACCTAGAGCTCAGGACTTGGGAGATGGAAGCAGGAAGTCAGGAGTTCAAAGTCATCCTTGACTATAGAGAATTAGAGGCCAGCCTGGGATATAGGAGAGAGACCCTATCTTTTTTTCTTTTTCTTTTTCTTTTTTTGGTCTTTTTGAGACAGAGTCTCTCAGTAGCCCCAGCTGTCCTGGAACTCACTATGTAGACCAGGCTGGCCTTGAACTCACAGAGATTCGCCTGCCTCTGACTCTTGAGTGCTGGGATAAAGGTATGTGCCACCATGCCTACTTCAGAAGAGAAACCCTATCTTAAAAAAATGTGGAACTATATTTTTTTTCTAAAATCTCTAAAAAGTGACTGCAGATTTCATTTCACACAAGTTACTTGAATGAATCATTATCATGAGGCATGTACCTATAAGATCTTTCTTAAAAATACCTTAAGATCGTCTTTTGTTTCTATCTTTAAATTCTGTGCCCCATTTACATAGATAGAGATATAGATTGGTACCTCGGTCTTGGAGATTAAGTTCCTAGTAAGCAGCTTGGCATTTGGAATTGTTGACTAAAATAACATGACATTGTGGATTTTTTATTTTGAATTTCATTCCTTTTTTGTGAGAAAATAAAGGGAGCCTTTTTTGACAGGGAATCAGTTTCGAGAAAGTTACTTCTTACAGCCGGAGCTCACTACATCCCAGCTGGCCTTCAGGGATCTAATGTGGGATGCTAAAGCAGGCACTGTAAGTATAGTTACTATTGGTAAAAGTATAACGGTTTCAGCTTTTGTCCTTGTGCGCCTATGCAAATAGCATGCAAATTGACAAATGCATCGTAGAACACAAAGCTATTTCTGTAGTGTAATTTTGGAACAATGACATTTTCTTTAAATATTTATTTTTTATTTATTATTTTTATTTTATGTGGACGTGTGTATTGCCTGCATGTAGGTAGGTGCACCTGTGTAGTGCAATGCCTATGGAGGATAGAAGAGGCTGTTGAATCCCCTAGAACTGGAGTTATGGACAGTTGTTAGCTGCCACGTGGGTACTGGGATTCAAACCCGGATCTTCTGCAAGACCAGCCAGTGTTCTTAACCGCTGAACCATCTCTCCAGCCCCGAAACAATGACATTTTCATAGCTTGAACTTAGTACCTCAGCTTTATCTACTTGATCCCTGTCTGTTACTCTTCTCTCATCACAAAGGAAAGAGTTCTGTTTCTATCTTAATCATTTTTTACCTCAATATCTGTAAAAATGGTTAATAATAACAATAATAATAATAATAATTACTACATAGAGTTACTGGGGGAATTACATGATAAAGAACAATGCCAGGCACATAAGAACTCAGCAAATGTTAGTGCTCTGCTTTGGTAAAGTATCCCTGTTGTGTGATTTTTACTGGGTAAATTATTTCGATTCACCTCAGATAGAAAGGGCCATGACAGACCAAAGAAACGATTTTGGCCAAGTCCAGCTTGATGAACTAAGCAGTTTATAGGGATTACTTATAAGAGCATGGGTGATCTGGACAGCTGCATCACTGAAAAGCCTCACACTGGCCAGCATGGTTGATGACTTAACAAAAGCTCTATCACTGGGGTGCCCTGGCACCTTACAGGAAGTGACTTAAGAAGCTCTCTACTCCTCATAATTGCTTACTGCTTATATAACTTCAGAGAGGGAGCTTATGAGTCCTGTGGGTTTCTTATGAGTTTCATGGGGCTCCCGAGCTTCAAATATGGAGGAAACAGCTACATAGAGTCCACCAAAGGCCCGTGTATTAAGGCTTAGCCCTAACCTCTGATTCTCCTGGGAGGTGGTGGAGCCTATAGGAGGTGCCTTACTGGAAAAGTTAGGCCATTTGCATTATGTCTTTGAAGGGGATGTGGGGACTCAGGCCCCCTCTTCCCTTTGGCTTCTCACTGCCATGAACTGAGCACATTGCTGCACCATGCTCTTGCCATTTGTGCTGCCTCCCACAGGCCCAACAGCCACGAGGCCAAGTGACCATGGCCTAGAACCTCTGAAACCAAGACCTAAAATAAGCTTTTCAACTTTTAAAGTTGATTATCTTAGATATTTTTTTACGGCAATAGAAAACCAATGACTACAACCAGTATCATCATCATCAGTAGTATAAGTGACTCTGCTGCCTGTCACATAAACAAAAACAAGAAATTGAATCTTTAAACTGTGCTTTATTCAGACAGCTGGTAATCTATCTAGAAAGCCAGAGAAATATGCCTTCCTGATCCTTTTCTCATTAGCGTTTTTACAGAGAAGCAGAGCAAAGGAAATCAGTTCACGTTCAGTCTTACCCTTCTGCCAGGTGGCTCTTCTCTCAGAGGGTCCCCAGCCAACCATCCTCTCTTTCGGTGTAGCAGGGTTTCACAGACACCAAGGCCCCTGAGTCTTGCATTCCTTCTTAGTCCTTTCCTTCCCCAAACCCTCACTGTCTGCACAACAGGAGAAGGTTTGACAGACACCAAGGCTAAGGCTGCTGAGTTTTGCATTCCTTCTTGGTCATCTCTCTGTCTCTCTACGTGCAGCAGGGTAAGGGTTAATTAAGAACAAGCAAATCTACCAGCAATGTTTGCATGCAGACTCTTTCCTACAGGCTGAAGTACAAATGTGCTCTTGTAGAATATGCAGTGCCCTGTCATTGTGCCCCTGTCAGGAGAAGCAGAAGCAGTGGTAGAAGGGTTTAAATTAAGTTGACGGAACTTTATGAGGGTACAATTGCAGCCCTGGGTACATACTCAGAGGAAATGAATTCAGATATAAACCGTCTGTACTTATTGCAGCATTGTTCACACCCATGCTTCCTCCACCAAGGCCACACCTCATAAACGTTCCATGACTGCCCCAAACAGCACCACCAACTGGGGACCACATACCAAGTATTCAAGTACTTGAACCTATGGAGGGCATTTCTCATTCAAAGCATCACAGTCACCTTACTTTTATGGCATGTACAATTTATTTAAATGAAAAGGCTCATGATTGTAAAGCAGAATGTAAAGTTTAACTAATTGAAGCTGTTCTTAAGAAATAAAAAATCAGAATACCAGTTAATTGTTTGACAGTTTGACCTATACCTGTGAAGTGGATCTGAGTAATCCCATCAGGTAGTGGATGCATTCTCTCCATCAAGACATCTATTTAAGAAGCCAAGGAGCAAGGTGCATAATTGCTTGGAATCTGTATCTGTTGCTTTTGTTATTGCCTTTACTCATTGTTGTGGTAAAATACCTGACAGAAGCAACCTAAGGGAGGAAAGAGTTATTTTGGTTCACAGTTCAGGAGGGTGTGGTCCATCAAGGTGGTAAGACATGGCAGAGCAGCTCCAGGGCAGGGAGAGTGTGTGATGGAGCCCTGAATGTAGTGGAGCCCCGCAAGTGAGCTTCAAAAGATGAAGAAGCAGAGAGCCTGGGCCAGAACCAGGGGATTATAACCTTCAAGGCCTGTCCTGGTGACTCATTGCCACAGCTAGACTCTGTGTCCCAAAGATGCTGTAGCCTCCCAAAACAGTGCCATCATCTAGGGACCAAGTGTCAAACCACAGGCACCTGTGGGGGACATTTCAAATTCAAACCATAACATAATCCCAGCAAAAGGAGGCATGATCTGGATGACACTAAGGACCCTGTCCTGGTTGCTGCGCTGTAGAGCTGTCTGTGCTCATGCACCACTTAGGAATGGCCTGAAGACTGGAACACAGTGAGCCCATGGTCAGACCATATATTTTACTGGCTAGTTTTGTTTGTTCTGGTCACTACAGTTTGTACATAGTTAGTGAAAAAATTATAACTTTTAAATATTGCTATGAAAATTTTACCTGAAATGTGGCTGAATTTGATTTTACATGAACTGTACTAAAACTTCGTGTGTGTGTGTGTGTTTGTATAAAATTTTTCTTATCTTCTTTGTTTTAGTCTGTCTGTATTTTGTTGTTCGTTTATTTGTCTCTGTTTTTCTGAGACTGGCTTTGAACTCTCAATCCTTCTGCCTCCACCTCCCAAATGCTGACATTACAAGTGTGCATTACTACACCCAGCTTTATGTTTATTTTCTTAAGCTGTATTTATAAAAGATGCTTTGGAAATGGATTTTTATTATAAATAATAAAAATAAAATTTTGTAACTAATTTTTCTTTCAGATTAAGTCAAGACCAAGTCGTGTTTCATTGATTCTGACCCTGTGGAGCTGTAAAATGATTCCTCTTCCAGGAACAAGCATACAGGTTCTCAGCAGACATGTCCGCCTCTGTCTGTTTGATGGCAGTAAGGTAAGAACCATGTCAAGTCACAGCAAGATAATGGAAAATATTTTGTTACTGCTATATATTACATGTGCACTATGTTAAACAAGTACTGCCTTTTCTCTCCTCCCTCACTCTCATTATCTCTCTCTGATATATACATAGGTATATATGCACCCACACATATGTATGTATATGATGTATTTAAATAGGTGGTAGCGCACCCACACTGGTTCTGACTCTGTAGGCTTGGTCCCTGATAACCTATCTGAATTTGGATTTTTTCTACCTGTGGAAGGTACTAATGCCTATCTTTTGTTATATTCAGATTGGATCTTAACTAGGGTACTATATTTTGACAACTGTATACACTTGTATAACCAATACCTCAACTAAGATAATGAAACTTTGCCATCTCCATACAAAACTTCCTTGTGTCTTTTCTGACTCTACTCCTCCCTGATTCCTAAGAGACTATTTTTCACCCCATAACAAACAAAAGTCTGAATGGTTTTTCCAATGAATATATCATTTGTGAGATGTTGCTTGAACTATGTATACATAAAAATATGTAACTGTGATTGTATATACTGGAAAGAAAGATTGAAAATCAGCTATTTAGGATACCAACCTTAAAACCTAAAAGAATGAATTATACCTGAAGGAAGTAGAAAGGTAGAACTAATAAAATATTTAAAAATTAATAAATAGAAAAGATGAACAAAATAGAAAAATTTCAAAAGTTGGTTCTTTGAAGAGTGAATTTGAACTGATCAAGAAATTTTTTGAAAGAGAGCAAGAGAACAAAATACTGTTATCTAATATAGAGAAAGACATTATTACATATCCTCAGACATTAACAGACAGCATGTAATATCATAAACAGTTTTATGCCAGTAAATTTGGCAACATTGATGAAATAGAAAATTTCCTAGAAAAATAATAATTTACTGAAACTGAAATAAAAATGAATAGTCTCTGTGAGAGGAATGAAAATTCAATAATAAAGTCTTTCTGCAAAGAAAGCTCCAGGCCAGAAGGCATCACAAATGAATTCCTCCAAGCATAAAGAAGAGATAAAATCAGTTGTACTTCTAAAGAGCCAGATAAAGAGAAAATGCTTCACAGTTCCTTTCATAAAGCCAGGAAAAACACGATACCAAAATATGACATAAAAAGAAAGGACAATTATAAGACCAGTATCCTTCATGGACCTAGAAGCTGAAATATTAAACAGCTATCAGACTCAACTTAGCTATATAAAAAGGACACCATATCACAGCCAGTTGGAATTTCTTCCAAGGATTCAAATGTGTGTACCTATACAACTAGCACAACATTTGAAAGCCAGTCATTGTAATTTGTCATATTCATAGCACAAAGATGATCATGTGAACATTTCAGTAGCTATAGAAGCATCTGACAAATTTCAATGCTCATACATGAGTTTTTAATCTTTTCTACAAATTAGAAAAAGAAGGAGTTTCCTCTCATTTGTAAAAAGCAAGAAGAAAAACCCAACAGAGATACTGAACACTTTCCTCAAGATCAGGAACAATCAGAATATGTAAGAAGTTAAAAGATAACTCACATTTTTTAATGCATGAAAGACTTGAATAACACCTCAAAAAAGACAAGCACATGGAAAACCAATGATACTACATAATGATAAAGCAAAGCTCACCAGGAGGACATAGCAATCCTGTCTGCACAGCCAGCATCAGAGCTCCAAATACATGAGCTCAAACCTGTATGGAATTGAAAAGGGAAATGAACAAAGCTATAGTTATAATTGAAAACTTCAACATTTGTCTCTCAGTAACAGAGCTAGCATACAGAAAAACTTAAGAATATAAAAGAACATAACAAACTAGATAAAATTGGCCAAATTAATGCTTATATAACACTTCATCTCAAAAGAGTAAAATACATAGACTTTTAGTACACATACTACAATAGACTGATAGTCCTGGATCAGAAAACAAATTTCAAAGAATTGAAGCCCATACAATGCATGGTCCTTGAGCACACTGAATTAAATTAGACATTGTATTGATTAATCTTCATTGTCTCTTGACTAGATTTAGAATCACCTAGGAGTGACATCTCTGGGCATGTGTCTGAGGGCATTTCCACAGAGGTTTAACTGAGGAGGGAAGACCCACACTGATTATGGGTGGCACATCCCATAGACAGTTATCTTACAGTGAACAAAATCTAAAGTCAGCTGAAGATTAACCAGTGCCATCATTTGCTGGCATGAGTTGAGACCTTGACCAAATGAGTTGACCTTGCTTTCTCACATGAGGATTAAGATCTAACATTTAGATCAACACACAGAGCACGAGTGTTACTAGGTGAGGGATGATGGTTACAACTTAGAAAGATGGAGAAGAGAGCTGTGGAATGAGATGTAGGAGACATCAACCAACAAAATTTGGTGGCAGACTAGATGCAGAGAGTGGGACCAAGCGTCAAGCTGGTAGGAGGTCTCAGATTTCCACCCTCTGATGGATGAGTTCACAGTGGTTTATCTCCACTTTTATATTCTCTGTACAAAACTACTGTCATAAGCCAGTAGGTGTCACCAGTGACCCAGAAGAGATGAATTACCTTTTTTTGGGGGCGGGGGGGGAGACAATTTCACTGCATATCCCAGGCTGGCCTCTAACTTGCACAGGGGATCCTCCTGCATTAGCCTCCCCAGTGCTGGGATTACAGTTTAATTTTTATTATTATTTGTTCACTAATTCGAGATAGGGCAAACCTGGAACTCTCAGTGTGGCCTGCTACATTCATCCTCTTGCATCTACTCTTGCTGGGATTACAGGTGTACACCACCCCAGTTCCAGCTTGAAATTTGATTTTTTTTTTTTTTTAGACAGTCTCACTATGTTTGCTGGTATTAAAGGTGTCACCCCCCCCAGTTCCCGCTTGAAATTTGATTTTTTTTTTTTTGAGACAGTCTCACTATGTAGCCCTGGCTGGCCTGGAACTCACCATGTAGACCAGGCTGGCCTCAACCTTACCTGCCTCTGCCTCCCAAGTATTACGATTTGAAATTTGATTTTTCAATAACTTCAAAGTAATAGAATTTTTATCAAAATCATAGGATTTCCTTTATGAAACTAATTTATAATATTTCCAGTTATAGGACATATTTAATAGTAACACAAGTACTCATGCTGTTTACTCGAATTCTTAAATAAATCTAACCTTAATTACAAATAAAAAGTAGTTTTGTTAAAAGTAATTAAGGAGATGCCCCTGCATGCTCTGGGCAGTTCACTAAAGGCACTGTAGAGCCCGTGGTGCAATAGGTGCTAGAAAGGAGCCACGGTCTTTCAGTTTGATGCTTTACTTATTTTATTTTGTTTTGGGGGAGATTGAGCCCAGGGCCTCACATACTAAGGGAACACCCTACCGCTGAGCTCTACTCTACCCTCTACTTTATTTTCGGTTTTCTTTTTGTTCTCTGCTTTCTTTCTCTGCCTTCCTGTGTACTACTTGAACATCCATCTGGAACTCCATTCTGAGTATCTGCTGTGCTGAGAGAATCTCTTTGGATGGCTTTCTCAGTGCTCATTCTATGTGTAATCTTATGCATACAGAGTTTGCCTAGTGAACGGGTATGGATTCCAACTGAGAAACATACAGAAACTTTTCTCCCTTTAACTCCCTTTACTTCACACATTTGTAATCCAATTGTCTCAAGTATTTCCTTGACCTACACTGAGGGCCATATTACATAGTTATGATGTTTGCTTCAACCATCAAACATAATACAGAAAACTTGAGACAGTGTGTAGTATTTACTCATGGTTTTTGCTGTTTCCATTGATCTTCCTGATGCTCTCAGATTCATTCTTTTTTCATATCCTTTCTGTTTAGAGAATTTCCTTGAACTATTCTTTTAGGGTAGGGTTTTGAGGTTGGATTTTGTTTTGTTTCATATTTAAGCACTGAGGGTTTGAATTCAGGGCCTTTTACATGCTAGCCAGACATTACCACTAAGGTACATCCCCAGCCTTTTAGAGTAGGACCTCTGCAAACAAATTCTCATAAACTTGTCTGAGGGACAGGAGAGATGGCTCAGTGGTTAAGAGCACTGGCTGCTCTCACAGAGGACCCGAGTTCAGTTCCCAGCACCTACATGGCAGCTAACAACTGTCTATAACTCCTGTTCCAGGGGACCCAGTACCCTCTTCTGGTCTTTTCAGGTACCAGGCACACATGTGATACATATACATACACGTAGGCAAACATTTATACACAGTAAAAAAAAAAAAAAAAGAAGAAAAGAAAAGAATGTCTGGGGCTAGAGATGGCTCAGCAGTTAAAAGCACTGGCTGCTCTTACAGAGGACCTGGGTTCAATTTCAAGCACCCACATGATGGCTAACAATAGTTCATAACTCTAGTTCAAGAGGAATCCAATGCTCTCTTCTGACCTCCATGGGTACTGCATGACATGGATGCACTTACATACATGCAGGCAACACACACGTACACATAAAATAAAAATAATAAATAAAATATAGAAAAACAATTCTGTCTGAGAATGTCTATTTCTCTTTCACTGCTGAAGGATCTTTTCATTGGCTATAGAAAGCTGGCTTGACACATCTTTCCTTTCAATACTTGCAGTTGCTGTGCCACCTCCTCTGGCCTCCCTGGTTCCTAGTGAGAAACTCATTCATTCAGCATTTTCCCAAGGGTAATATATGCATTGTTTCTCTCTTACCCTTCACAAGTTTGTGGTGTACCTGGCATGAATTTACTGGGGTTACCCTGTTTGAGGTTTGCTCTGTGCCTTTATATCATTTGCCAAACTTAGGCATTTTTAACCAATCATTTCCTCAAATACTTTTTAAGCTACAAATTGCATTCTCCTTGGGACTCTGGATACAAACGCTGGATCTTTGTAGGACTCCCACAAGTCGCAGACCATCTCTGCTTTCTTGCTTTCATCTATTTCGTCTTCCTTGTTCAGACTGTAGGATTTTGACGTCCGTTAAGCTCACTGGTTTTTCTGTTTGCTGCTCTGCTGTTGAGTCTGTATATCATCAATTGTTGATTTGTTTTGTTATTCTTGTGATTATACTTTTCAGGTCTTAGTTTCCTTTTTTTAAATTTTATTTGTTATTTTTATTTTATGTGTATGCATGTATTGCCTGCATGTACGTAAGTGCACCCATGTCATGCAATGCCTGCGGAGGACAGAAGAGGCTGTTGGATCCCCTGGAACTGGAATTATGGACAGTTGTTAGCTGCCATGTGGGTACTGGGATTCGAACCTGGGTCTTCTGCAAGAACAGCCAGTGTTCTTAACTGCTGAGCCATCTCTCCAGCCCCCTCCATTTCTTTTTTATGTCTTCCATTTCTGTGTTGGGGGTTCCTTATTTCTATTTTTACATTCATTTCAAGTATGCCTGGAATTTCTTATTGAAGCATTTTTGTCTGACTGCTTTAAAATTTGTGTCAGATATTCCTACATCTGTGTCATCCCAGTGATAGAGCCACTGAATGTCTTTTTGTTCAATCTGAGAGTTTCTCTTAGTATGACTGACAAGGTTTTACTGAGTCCTGGATGTTTTGGGTATTATGTTATGAGTCTCTGGATCTTATTTTAGATTCTGTGTATCTGTGTTGGGGGGCACACTGGGGGTTGAACCCAGGGCTTGCATATGCTAAAAATGTATTCTACCCCAGCCCTAAATTCTATTTTAAGTAGAACTCTGACATCATGGTGGCAAGGGATGTTGGATGCCACCTCATTATTGCCAGGTGGGAATGACATCCAGAGTCATCCCCACTTGGCCTTTGTTCATACCTGAGGAAAGGTATGCCTCTGGGCCCCACTGGATATTCAGACTCCCCATCAAGCCACCAGGGCTGGCACCCACTGTGACATCCCTAGCTTGTTTACCTTTCTCTCTCTACCCTCAACATTATAAATTTAAAAAAAACAAGATTTGTGGATTTCATTATATTAACTTTTACATAAAAAATGTAAGAGAAAACTAAATTTTAGTTAATATGCACATTAAAGTGTTTGCAGAGAAGTTCAGTAAATCAACATTTGCAGTGCATCAAAATATAAAGAAAACTGACAGACTGATGGAGCAAGTGTAGTAAAGGTTAACTTTAGGATGGAGGTAATGCGCACATGGGTGCCTACTGTCAGGTTCTGTGAGCTGTGGAATGTACTTGACGTGGTTCATAATTAACATCATTATTTCACCCTTTAAAAAACTGACTGAAACCCATAAGTACTCATTAAGAAATATACATCAGTTAACTGTGTATGTTTTGTCAAAACACTAAGAAAAATAAAAGACAAAACTAAATTCTACACTTAGACTCTTTCTTAGAACATTCCTATTTTCTAATTTCTGTTTATTCTTTTTCACATCTATTTCATATGCCAATCTGATCTGTATTGGAATTTTCATTATTTTTTAAGTTATGAACTATTTCAGATGAACTGAAACATACAGAGGCTAACATAGCAGAGTGGCTTTCCCAGCTGCTTCTGTGGAAGTCTACCTCCACTTGGCAGTACCCACTTCTGATGTTTTCAAATAAGCTATGTTGTCTTTCTGCTTAATTCTGTAAAACTAAAACTTCCCTAAAAATTAGTCTGTCAGGCATGGTGGCACACACCTTTAATCCCAGCACTCTGGAGGCAGAGGTAGGCAGATCTTTGTCTACATAGTGAGACCCTGTCTCAAAAATAAAAAGTTAACACTCCAAATATGGCGGTCCCAAAGTACACCACTCCTGACCATCCTTTCCCTCCTTCTATGTAGATAATTAGTCTGCATTTTGTTTTGTTGGTTTTTCATGGTCTAATTTTTTAATATGCTCATTTATAAAAAGTATCAAAACCTTTTATCCTTTTCCAGTTTTCTTTTTCCCATCAGCCTTGTGGTTATGATATTTATCCAAATTGGTGGGTTTTCTATTGGCTGTTCTTTTTAACTATTGGATGATATTTCATTGCATGGCTGGGCTTCAGTTATATTTATCCATTCTTCTCTTAAGGAGTTATTTTTTACCACTGAAGTCTTTCAATAAACTTTCTTATAAAACCACAAGAGACAAATGTTTAGAGTATTTTCTTAGGGCAGATTGTTAGGTGGCAGGGTCTGTACATCTCCATGTATTAGGGACTATATTAGGTCTTTCTTATTGGGTTTTTCCAGTTAATACTGCCTTGACAGTGTATGAAAATCCATGCTTCATTATTTCCACATTCTATCACCTGGTAGTATCACTATTTTGAGTATGAAGTAAATTTCATTAGGGTTCTGCTTATATTTCCTTGATTCCTACTGGGTTTTAGGTCTCTTCATATGCATTATTAATGCAGTTTGTCAACTGGATTCTCTATGTTGTATGAGTCCCTGATTACTGCATCCCTTGCATCCGGCTTTGTGCAGAAAGTGCTGTGATTCTGGCTGCACTCTGCTCAAATGTATAGTGAGATGGTTGGGCTGAGTCAATCTTAGATCTCAGGATCTATACAGCAAGAAAGATACAGAGTTATCTTGAGTCTGAATGCCAAAATCAGAATCCTCCACATTGAAAAGATAAGAACAGAGACAGTGTAGATTAGAAATTCTAATTTCTATGTCAGGCAAAAACTTCATGGATATTGTAAGTAGGAAACATTACTTGTAAAACCAACTAAAAGCCAGTCTTGTATTGATTACCAGATAGTAATCAGAAGGATTTTGTACTCTTAAGACTCCGGGTTGAGACTGTGGAGGATGCATAATTGAATTTGGTTTACTATGCACATTTAGGTACTTGAATTGGGCTGCATTGGTTTGGTTTGATTTTCTTTTTCTTTGAGACCACTCATACTCTGTAGCCCTAGGTGAGCTGGAACTGATTATGTAGATCAGACTGGCCTCAAACTCACAGAGATCTACCTTCTTCAGACTCCTAAGTGCTAGGATTATACCCAGATACTCAAATTGTTAAGTATTTATTTTAGTATTTGACATGTATGTATCATGTGTGTCCATGGCACATGTTAAGTTCAGAGGACAACTTTGTGGAGTTCTTTTCTTTCTTTTCAATCTTTATCTGGGTTCCAGGGATCAAACTCAAGCCATCAGGCTTGGTGGAAGTCACCTTTACCTGCTGAACCATCTTGCTAGCCCTTGAATTGTTTTTAAAGCTTAACTTTTAGAAGCATTGTACTGTAACTCTGTGTGTGTGTGTGTGTGTGTGTGTGTGTGTGTGTGTGTGTGTGTGTGTGCTTGAGACAGGGCCTCCCTGTAGCCCCATCTGGCCTGTACTCGATATGTAGACCAGGTTGACCTTGAACTAACTCACAGAGATCTACCAGCCTCTTCCTCCCAAGTACTGGGAGCCACCATGCCCGGCTATACTGTAATATTTTTATCTAAAATAAAAAATGTTACCTGGTTCCCTCTAAGAATTTGAATTCTTCTTTAAATAAAGAATTTGAATTCTTTAAATAAAGTTTAGACTCCTTTTGTGTTTGTTGTTTTTGTGTAAACTGTAGCATGACCTTCTTGAATATAGCATTTAAAAGAGATCAGATTGCAAGAAGAATGTAATTTACTGGTCTAGCAATCTTGAAGAGCAATTTATATATCTGACCTTGTGGCATTGGCTGTCGTAGTAACAGGGTACCAGACTGCATGTGAGGTGCCATAGCCACCCCAGATTGCACTCACTTTTCCAGTACACTTGCCGTAGATAGTATTTCATTTAATATAATTTATTACTACCTCAGGGTCCAACTCTGAATTCATTTTATTAGTTTCTTAATTATTATACTTATTTGTTAATAAGCGTCATGTTTCTCATGAGTTATTTAAAAGTTCTGTGTACATTGCATTTGATGTAGAAAGGAAAAAGCATAGCATAATTGCTTTAAATTAAAAGTACCCCCCTTACCTGTCCAAGACACCCACTGTTGACAGTTTGGGACTCAGAAGGGATGTTGTCTCAGAAGACTTACTACAGTGTCATTTCAAATGGGAAAATCTCATTTCAGGTTCTGAGCAACATTCACACAGTCAGAGCTACGTGGCAGCCTAAAAAGCCCAAAACATGGAGCTTTTCTCCCCAGGTAAGTCGCTGCTGAGTTAGTGGACGGAAATGTGAATTTCTTCTTCTGGGAAGCACAAGGTCTAACATGAGGCTACCAAGTGCTGCACACTTAGCCCAGAATATTTAGCATCAAATTTAAGTCTTTAGGGTCTTTTTTGTTCTTTGAAGATTTTGACACAAATTCTTCACCCTTCTGACTTACCTAAGCTGTAATTTCCATGAATCATTCAGTGGATTTCAATTTCAGGAAATGTCCCTTTGATGAGACATGAAACCAAGAAGATGATCAAGTTTAGGAGGTGTTTTTAAAAATGAAGTCTTCCAACTGAGCTAATGTAGTTGTTCCTCAGATTAAATCAAAGGTGATGCCTGGGGGCTCCTGCTTTACGCTCAGGTCCTGTCAAGACTGAGGTGGGGTTAGGGTTTCACCACTGAGTCAGTGTTACACAGACGCTAATGAATCAGAAACATCTGTTCTTTTTATATTGTCTATAGTTTACTTTTTTCTGCCTCCCAGGACTCCTTGCTTTAGTTTCTGTCCCTCCCACAGCTACTTTGTTGCTGCTACAGCCTAGAAGCCTTCATTTCCCTTTGCCTTACCACATAAAAAGGTCTTAGTGCCACATGGAGGGTCAGGGAGAGGGCACAGGCTATGCTGGAGGCCCACCACCTTGCTGGCTGTGATGTGATGTGCCCTCATGCGTCTGTAGCACAATTACTAATAGTCCATTTGTCCCCCTGACACCTGCCTCCAGGGAGAGTACTGCTTGTCTTTTGGCATAGAAATTCACAGTTCTGCTGCTATGCCTCTGTGTATGGGAAGTGTCAAAGGATGAGGAGGAGCTGGGAGGGACGCATAAGCATGAGTTTCCTTGTTGAATGAAGCTGAGCAGGTTACATCCTCCTAGGTGTATGGGAGTTCGCATGTTCTTGGGGAAGGAACACATCTGTGAAGAGCAGCAATATGCCCAGAGGTGGAGCTCCAGCCATGGCCCGGCCATGTGCATTGTGGAAGTTAATCCTTGAGCTACCCTGTGGGTTGGGTATCACGCGGGTACAGCGCCATGCTTATGAAGCTCCAAGGGGGTTGGAAGCACAGCAGGTAGGGGAAAGGAGGTCCATGCTAGTCCTTAGGCCCAGGGAAGATTTTGGAAATGTATTTTTTTATGTGTATTTGTATGTGCCTGCATGAATTTATGTGTGCTGTGCATACAGGTGCCCATGGAGGTCAGAGGGTGTTAGATCATCTGGAACTGTCATGGGGCATTGTGAGCCATGTAATGTGGATTCTGGAAATTAAACCTGGGTCCTCTGCAAGAGCAATAAGTGCTCTTAATCACTGAGCCATCTCCCCAAGTCCCCATGGAAAGTTTTTGAACAAGAGAAACTAGACCCTGAAGAATGGGTAGGATTTTCTAGGCAAGAAAGAGGGTGTGGTTGTCCAGGGATTCAGAGTGGGATGAGCAAAAGGAAAGGGAACATATGCAAGGCAGGAATTGGAAGCCCAGCAGGTGTATGTGCGTGGCTTTGATTCTGTTTACAAATAGCAGTAGTTAGCATAAATAATAACGCAAAATGGCAAAATGTGTTTTGTTACACCTCTGGTGACCTACTTATAATGCTTTGCCTCTTAGCCATGGTCTAAGTGAAAAATAATGAAGGTCAAGGTAATTTTCCTTTAACAGGGAGGTTAAATGTTTCTCTTTCTAACCGTTGGCATGGGTTCATCTACTTGAAGTTTTTTAAGACCTCTGTTATAATGCAAAGGCATAAGCCCTTTGCAGATGGATGGGGCTGAGAGGCCCTGCACATACTTCACTTTTGTCAGTAACTTCAGTTTCTTTATCATTCTAGGTCACTGGCATCTTGCCATGCGTGCTTGATGGAGATTGTTTTATTAGGTCCAATTCTTCATCTCCAGACCTTGGAATATTATTTGAACTTGGAATTTCTTACATTCGAAACGTATGTCAAAGTTGAAAGATAAAACTTTCTAATACATCTAAAGGGAGATGTTAGAAATGTGTCTGTATATACAAGCAAAATAATAGATGTTTTAGTTACTTTTCCTGTTGCTGTGATAAAATACTCTGACGAAAACAACTTAAGGGGTTTATTCTGGCTCACAGTTGGAGGGGATCCTGTCATCATAGCCAGGAAGGCATGGCAGCAGGTATGGGAGGCTCACTGGTGACACTAGTCAGGAAGCAGAGAGAACAGGAAGTGGGGCTGGACTATAAAACTGGGGGCCTGCCTATACGAGAACTTTCGCATTCAAACCACAACAAAGGGCTTCTGTGTAATAGAAATTTAATCCTGAAGGAAGCAAAGTGATACGATTCTCATTAAAAAAATATTACATTTTATTTATGAAGGGGCACGTGTGTAGAGGTCAGAGTAAAATTTGTAGGAGTTGGTTCTTTCCCTTCACCATGTGTATCCTGAAGATTGACCTCAGGTCATCAGACTTGGCAACAAGCACCTTTACCCACTGAACCATCTCACTGCCTCCACCTTCTCATTTCTTATGCAGTACTGCCAAATGGCATGTAAGATAAAAGGGTATTTGTTTACAAGGCCTGAGTGTGGTGATGCACGCCTTTAATCCCAGCACTTGGGAGGCAGAGGCAGGCAGATCTTTGTGAGTTCGAGACCAGCCTGGTCTACATAATGAGTTACAGGACAGCTGGGGCTACAAGGAGACCCTGTCTCAAAAAAAAAGGGGAGGGGTATTTGTTTACATTTTATAGCATCACTGAACTCCAGTGCTTTTAACACATGAAAACTCATAAAGGCTGGAACTTTCCAGAGGTGATAAAAAAAAATTCAGAGGCTTCCAGCACAGGGGTTGGCACTTTATCTCCCTGAGCCGAGTACCGTTAACTTTGTAGCTCACAGTTCTTAGGAACCTGGAAGAATGGCAGATTTTCAAAAGGAACACCAGAAACTTGGTTTAACGTATGTCATATGAAATGCTTGGGTTTACCCACTGGTGTGGACCTGTGCTAGTTAACTCCTTGTGTCCACATTCTAGTAACAGCCTGGGAGGTGTAGTGCATAACCCTTGCCTTGTGGCTACCCAGAGAGCCATCACAGAATGATCACAGTAATGTAATGGTCCTTCATCACTTTGCACTTCTTCAAGACAAATTCACCTTTGTATACTGCATATGGGTAGGGCAGCAGACGAGCCTAGTGAGTCCAGTGACCCCTGGCAGTGGGCAGGAAGAGTGAACTCCCAAGCAAAAGAATTCTTTTATTTATCTTTTTAAAATTATTTATTATTTTATTTTGTGTGTATGTGTGTATTGCCTGCATGTGGGAAAGTGCATCTGTGTCGTGCAGTGCTCATGGAGGACAGAAGAGACTGTTGAATCCCCCAGAACTGGAGTTACGGGCAGTTGTTAGCTGCCATGTGGGTGCTGGGATTTGAACCCAGGTCTTCTGCAGGAACAACCAGTGTTCTTAACTACTGTGCTCTCCCTCCAGCCCCCGCAAAAGAATTCTTGAGTGACTGATTCCTGTGTTCCATCTCCCCATGAAACAAAGGTTCATAATTGTATGTAATAGCTTGTGATTTTAGATTGTCCTCTGTGCTGTGTGATTCAAGACTGTCTCCAAACACAATAGCAATGACAGCCTCATCATCAGGTTGAAAAGACCTTCAAAAGCAATCATGACAAAAGAAGAATGAGGTTTGAAGTATCATCTTTAACATCTGGGCTATAAGTAAAATGGAGCCTTAGCAAGTTTAGTCCTTAGAGTGAATAATACTTATGTTCCTTCCAGAGGACCTGTATGTGCTTTTAAATTTGGCTGTCTCAGACACGGTTCCATGTACTTGTTTTATTTCCTAGTCAACTGGTGAGAGAGGAGAGTTAAGCTGTGGCTGGGTGTTTCTTAAACTTTTCGATGGCAGCGGAGTTCCTGTTCCAACAAAGTAAGTGAGCTTTCTGTTCTTACAAATGCGAAAGTTTCTAGGGACTAGGTCCCTCAGGTATACTCAGGTGTTAGTATTTCAACAAGTTTTGGAAAGAGGGCTTTTTCATGTTGATTTTAGTTGTTTAAAGGAGTATATGGAAACAGCACACACATTCTTACCGTCAAGAGAAAGAAGTAACCCAGAGAGCAGTGTTTTATAAGATGCTCACATGGGGTCTGCTGAGACTAATCCCTAAAAACAGCCCAGCACTCTTCGGAGAGCAGGAGGCTAAGTCCTCTGTGAGCCTTTGCCTTCCATAATACCAGGTCACTGAAACTGCAGCAGCAGGCACCGTCACCCGATTGAAACATTACAAGCAGAAACAGACTAGAGGCCAATACTTGTGATATACACAGAAAAGTAAGGAGATCACTGTCCCCATATCAGGAACTAATACCAAAAAGATGATCTGAATTTTAAATTGGGGAAAATAAAGTTTAAGTCAAAGATATAAGCAAGAAACTCACAAGAGAGATAGAATGAGCAGGCAGAAGGATGAAGGTGACTAAGATTACAGGTGGGAGGTTCTGACACAGAGACTGTGGTCCAGCTCTGCCTGGGTGACTGTGCAGGCTCCTTAATGTCCTCGGGTCCCAGTTCCCTTCATCTTGAATCTGGGGATTAATTCCCATCCCAGAGGCTCATGATCACACTCCACAAGTGGCCTCCTGGGCAGAGGTAAAAGTCCTGACCACTAGTTATCTGACATCACCCTAGCGGGAAGGGGAGGGGTGTGTCTCAAATCATAATCATTACCATTGGGTGGTTATGAAAACTTGATTACGTGTGTGTGTGTGTGTGTGTGTGTGTGTGTGTGTTTAAATATGTTTAGAGGTTATATCATACTTCATAGAGGAAATAAGGGAAAGCTATCCTCACCTTCCCAGAAGTGAAGTCATGGCTATTTTTAAGGAACTAGAGCTCTGTATGTTACTACAGAAATGCTTCCCGGGTGTGTTATATGAAAGAAGTTGCAGAATGATGAATACTGTGGTTCCACTTGTGTTCAATAGAAACTTTTGGGTGGATTTGCCTCTGAGGAGTACAATGAGGTAGTTTAAAGGAGTCTTTAAACTCCTGCTCTCTACACTTGAGTTAAGCTTATGTAAAAGAGAAGCTAGGACCCAATGTAGCTCAATGATGCCATGCTTACCTAGCATGCCCAGGGAAGGACAGACAGACATACAGACAGACAAAGAGGGAGAATAAAAATACAGTGAGATTCCTAATGGCTTTATGTCAAACACATTTGAAAAATAAAACGCCATCACTTATTAACACAAATCATTAAAGTCAAACCATTTTAATGACAGCAGAAATCTTTCTCATTTTTGTGTGTGTGAATATCTTTGTGCTAAAAAAGGATTTCATAGTCAACTCCAGCATTCACAATTGCCTAGGACGTGGACCCACCATAATGTGTTATTTTTTTATAGGACTTATGAACTCTTCTTGAATGGTGGCACTCCTTATGAGAAAGGTGTTGAGGTAGACCCCTCAGTGTCCAGAAGAGGTATGGCACTTAACATGTGACCCTTTCTGTTAACTGTGACTCCTGAGATGGTCAATTTAAAAGGAGGAAGATTTGTTTTGGCTCACATTCCAGAAGTTTCAGTCCATGGTCACTTGGCTCTGTTGCTCTGGGCCTGTGGTAGCACAGTGCTTCATGGCAGAGTGTGTGGAAGAAAGGGCTTGTTCACTCCATGGTGGTCAGGAAGCAAAGAGAACAGAGGGTGAGTGTCCTAGACCCTCTTCTCTTCATTGACACAGCCCCACTGGCCTAAATTAGTCCCAGTAGGTCCCACCCCCACCTCCCATAGTGCCACAGGCTGGTGACCAAGCCTTTAGCATACAGGCCTTTTTTTGATTGGCACCTAGATCCATTCTAGATCCTAGAACCACATCACTTCCTTTTCTTAAAGATGTGGATAAAGCTACATGTAGTAGCTGCATCAGAAGGCAGCTGTATTTCTATTAAGCATAATATTTTTCACCTGGATTCACAATTCTCAATTAAGCATAATATTTTTCACTTGGATTCACAATTCTCAATGTGTGATTGGTATTAGAATTAAGTCTTTTTTATCTGTGTTTTTTTTTGGAAACATATATGAGGCTAATGTTGAAAATCATGAAAACAAGGACCCTTGGTTCCTTTTCACTGAACACTGGGTTGATACTTGTGACAGATACAGAATGAGTAGAAAAGGCTAGTTCAAAGGTTTCACATTGCTAGGTCAAAGAGTATGGATATTTGCAACTTCTATGTGTGACAAGTTTTCGCCCCAAGAGACTGAGTGCCCTTAATACTGTTCACCCAGCAGTGTACCAAGCCTAACAGACATACAACACCTGGGTCTTCCTTAGCCATCCCTGTCCTTGTTTGGTGCTTGGGACCCTCACCATTGCTGCTGCCCCACCGTGCCAGCATCCCACCTTTCAGAACAGGAAGGGGTTTAGGAGCTGTTGGTTCTACCTGGAGCCAGACATGTTTTTGGCTCCCTTCCTTCATGGCTTGAAGCATCTGTCCCAGTGGCCAGTGATGCCCTCTGGAGTTCCACAGGCATTCATGCCCCACTTCATCTTCCCATGGGCTCATGGAGGGTGGGTAGATGACCACCACCTTTCACATAGTGCAGCACCATGGGTTGTAGATTCTCATTGAATATTTGCTTTAGTGTACTCTGTCCCAAGCAAGTAAATTTTTTCTATTTATTCCTGATGTCTTTATAGCACAAGGTAGTATGTTCCATCAGATGATAAGCATGCGAAGGCAACCTCAACTTCTAGTGAAACTGCGGTCTCTGAACAGAAGATCAAGAGCCATGCTCAGGTAGGTAGGTGACCTGCCCTCTCCAGGGAGCAGAGGTGAATTTCTGCTTGCTTATCTTTTGTCAGTTACTTTCCGCCTCTGATTACTCTGCCCCAAATCCAGATTTTTGGCAATGAAAGAGTAATAAAGCTTAGATTCACTTCCTTTTCAGTTAGCTGTAATGGTAGATGTAGGGGTTGGAGGGATTACTGAGTGGTTTAAAAGCTCTTGCTGTGCCTCCAGAGGAACTGAGTTCAGTTCCCAGCACCCATGTCAAGCAGCTCACAACCTCCTGTAACTCTAGGTCAAGGGCATCTGACTTACATGCCCCTTTCTGGTCTCCATGGGCACCCACATACATGTGACATTCATACACATGTACACATAATTTTTTAAAATGATGTACCCATCATTGTAGATAATTTAGATACTCTTGAATTAGTAGAGATTATCAATAAGTGGTTCTGTCCTCATGGAACCTTTTCCCTTTTAATATCAGGTTTAGTAAAGTCTAATTTACATTTAGCAACCAGTTCTTGGGAGTCTTGCAAATGTAGTGATGCTGTAAAGCCCCCACAATAGAGATAGAGAGCAACCCCATATCTCTAAAGATGTTATCTCGTGGACCTTTGTAATCAGCAGCCACTCATCTGTCTTCTTCCCTGACAGTTTTGCATTCTCCAAACCATCATGAATGGCTTTATGTAGACTTGGAGTCTGGCTTCTTTCACTCATCATGACACTTTGGAGGCTCACCCATGCCCTGGATTGTTAGTAACGTGGTTGTTTTCATTCTAAACAAGTACTGCATTTGATGGACATACCAAAGTTGGCTTAACTACTCATCAGTTAATGTTTCTGGATTTGGGTAGTTAGGAATAAAACTTCTCCAAATATTCATATATGGTGTGTTTGTATAGGGGTATATGTCTGCATTTATTATGGGTAAAAAATACCTAGGAATGGAATTGATGGCTCATGTTGTATTGGATTAACTATATGTGGCTGTCAGACCATTGTCCAAAATGCCTGTACCATTTCCACTGGCTCTAGCAAGGTTTCAGAGTTTTGGTTACTGGTTGCTCTACATTCTTGATGGCCCTTGATATTAACCATTTTTTTCATATGGATCCTTCTAAAGAGAGGAGAATGTTTTCCTGTGGTAGTTTTAATTTGCATTTTTCTCCAGGATCTTTTACATGAGTGAAATCTCAGATCTACAGTTTCTGATTCAGTGCCCCATAGTCATTTAACCATCTCTCTTGGGATCTCAGACTTCAAAACAATATCAGCCCTGTAAAGTTGCTTAATAAAAGAAAGCATGTAAAAACACTTAGCTCATGTTTATAATGCATGATACACACAAACACAGTAGTGCTCACTATAAATTATTTCCTAATATAATTATTTTCTGTATAGATATATGTAAATGTTATTGCAGGATTTGTTCAAGTGAGCATGTGCAGTGGAGCTGGTAAGATAGGGGTGTTTAAATAGGCTTGAAAGGGTGGAGGAACCTGGCCATGGAAAGATACAGAGAAAAGGATCTTCCCACAGAGAACAGGTAGGAGACCCACAGAAGGGAAGAGTGCTTTGTGGGGCAGAACCTGCTTGCCACTCACCAATCATCAGGAAGGGGAAGTAGAGAAGTGGGGCCAGTGAGATGGCTCAGTGAGTAAAGGCACTTGCTGCCAAGCCTGACCATCTGAGTTTGAGCCCCAGGATCCCTTGGTAAAAAGAGAGGATGGACTCCTGTAAGTTTTCCTCTAACCTCCACATGTATGTCTTGGCATGTGCACTCACACATGCACACACTAAATGGACAAATGTAATAAAAAATGAAGTAGGGAGTGGAAGAAGAGTTGGCATACCCCTCAGAATGAGTCTTTTCTCAGTCCCAACTCTACCCTTAGTTTAAAGAGACCTTGCTCTAATCACTAATGCTGAAATGCATTCTGTAGTTAAACCATTAACAGTTCAATCTTTCAGCAGCTGTTAATAATGTGTTCATGGGTATTATTTACTCCTGCCTTAGTTTTTTTCCTTCCTAGAGATTCATAGAGCCTCTAAGTTCCCACTCCCCCTTTTTTGAACCAATCTTTCCTTGGAAAGTTGTTCTTTTTCAAGATGAGGAAAACAAAAGACTGACCTTAAGACAGTAGCAGCCTTTGTAAGAGAAAAGCCAAATCCTGTCTGTCCTTCATTCCTCCTCCCGCAGCAGCCCCACTGCTCACCTGTGGACCTACCTCACTGAGCCCAGAGCTCTCCCAAGTGTCTGTCTGCCAGGGACTGCTCTTAGTGCTCTTTCTTTGGCCCCAAAGACAGGTTCTCAGATACTTTTACTATCTCAAGATAAAACTGGCCTGTGTGGCACAGAGGTCAGGAAGGCAACCCATCTGTCTGAAGCCTTGCACACTGCTGTGTGCTGTAGGCTCATGCACAAGAGTCCTGAGTCCTTAGCCTCCAGACCTCAGGGACTGAGGCACTTGGTTAATTGCAGGTCACTGTAGGCACCAAGAAAGATTTGTGGCATTTCCAAGTAGAGTTCCTTCCGCTAGTGTCCGCTGTACTTCTCGGGGTCTGCACGCCTCCTGTTCCTGCCTCCCCTGCTTTGTCCTGGGGTGTGCTCCTTTCTTGAGCCCAAGACTCAAAGACAGTCTTGAAATTGCCACTCCACTCTACATGATTCCAAAACGTGGATTTGAGCACCCTGTTGGTGTGACCCAGGCACAGTCTGGGTATCACAGAAACCAGGCCATGGACGTGCTATGCCCAGAAGATTCTGGACGTGCTATGCCCAGAAGATTCTGGGCTGTATAGCCTGTGCCTCAGGTCAAGGTGAGAGGCTAGGTAGTGAGTTTTAGTTCAGTACTCTGAGCCCGCACAACAGGGAGGTGGAAATAGGCAAGACTGGTCTATCCCAGCATCCTCACTCTCCTGATCCTCCACCCTCCATGGGTGGGAGAAAACGGGTGATAATACCCACATTCTTTTCCTCCCCTTCAAAGGTTCATCCCATTTCTAGCCCCACCTTCCCCTGCTAACCAACTTCACTTTTGCTCAGCAGTAAGAGTGGAGGCTCTTTCCACTTTGCCAAGGAACTGCGACAGTGGAGGCAGGGCCGTGGTGAGAAGCCCAGTTTGGATTTGCATGAGTGCTCATTTTCTCTAAGACTCAGCTGCATAGCTTCATGTGGCCTCACACCCACCCAGCAGCCTTGAACATTCTGTGGGTATCTTCTGCATGTCAGGAGACTTATGAAATGCCATAAGCTGGTGCAGACTGACTTCCTATGACAGGAAAGCATGGCATCCTGCCTCTTGGACCCTACTCTTAATTTGTAGTGTCAGTTTAATGATAGTGAGCCTGTCACCTGGCAGTAGGCTGCTGCTCAGCTCCACCAACACTTGTCTTTTCCAAACAGACTTAACCTGATACAGTTTGACCAAAGGCACACTTTGAAGGCCCTAAGGAGGACGGGCCCTGAGTTTAGGCTCTTAGGGTTCTAAATGTCAACAAGCACTGATATGTAGGCTTAGCAGTGGTCTGTGTGTATGTATAAATTTGATGAAATTATTTTCCTTTGTCTCTTTTAATGTATCCTGTCTTTTTCTTGCTTTTACTTCTATTTCATTGTTAAAAATAAATGAGAGAGCTACTGCCAAGCCCATTCATTACATTTACAGTGCTTCTGCCCTCAGTTTGCTAGTCTACCTGTGAAGTTAGGGTGAAATGTAGTTTCACTTTTTCAACTCAGCTAACCTTTAGTAGCTCAGAACTTTCTGGCCATCTTAGGTTTGGAAAAAGCCAGGGGAAAAAAAAGGAAAGCAACATTGCCTTATGCAGTGGGAAGGTGCCAGAAGGAAAGGACTGCCCACACTGAGGGAATACCCACGCCTTCCAGACAGATGGAGCAAGTAGATCTATAAGAAAAAGAGAGGACCAAATGGGAGGAAGGAAGGTCCACCCCTTCCCCTGCCCACGTCAGTGACTGGTCTTCAGCATGAGCCTTGTACTCGGGCATGCCATGGATCATTGCCCACGTAGGCCAGGGCAGGATGTACAACAAACACCCTTGGGAGTCACAGCATGAACCCATAGGGCATGGTGGCATCGAGGCAGCTTGAGTGGTTCTAGCAGCCAAACCATAAAATCTAGCTTGAGTATATACAAAACCAGAATTTTCACAGGCTCTCAGAACCAAAGAGTGCATATGAATTTAAATGTGGGAAGACAGCCTGTCCTATAGTTTTATGTGTTTCTAGAAATGGCTGGGCATGGTGATCCACAGCTTTAATACCAGCACTTGAGAGGCAGAGGCAAGCAGATTTCTGTGAGACTCAGTCCAGCCTAGTCTACATAGTGAGTTCCAGGCCAGCTGGGGCTATAGGGAGACTCTGTCTCTATAAAACAAAACAAAACAAAACAAAAAAATATTTCTAGAAATGCAGACATTAGGGTGTGGTCAGGGACACTAGCCTAAATTCCATGAGGCTGATTGGCTGTGGTTCCTTTGCTTTTGCACCAGTCTAGGGGCCACATTCACTCTCCCAGCCACAGGGAAGCCTGACTGTTACCTTCATGGTCATTTTTTCCTTCTAAAGTTCTCTAGAAATTAAGATAAAGGATTAATTATAAAAATGAAGATCTCTTTTATATGTGTTCTGAGTCTAAAGCAAACCTTTTTTAAATAGCATATGTAAGAGTGAGACCACTGAGGACAAGTCAGCCTTCGGGTTGCAACAGCATGAGGTTTATTTGATACACAGGTACCTGTGGGCACAAAGTCTCCTCGGAGGACTTGCGCGCCTATAGGCTGGGGTTTGGCACTTTTATAGAGCAGAAGCAGGGTACAGAAGCAGAAGCGCGGTTATTGGTTAATTCAAAAACACACAGAGTAATTTCAAAAGCACACAGAAATATGGGGTAAGGGTCGGGGCTAAGGGGAAGTGGGATTGCTAAATGGGAGGTGACCTCAGGGACACAGAGGTTTTTCTCCTGATTTCCTGGTATCGAGCCCC